CTGTCGAAGTTCTGCGATTGCAAACTTGCTGCCCCCGATTCGAGTTCCGACGATGGTGGTTGATTAAGATGATAAGGGTTTTGGAGATGAAGCTAGAGGATTTGAATCGAGTTTCATCGGAAGACGATGATGATACCCGATCGAATCCGGCCCGTGCCACGACAGGAAGATGAGGAGAGCTTCAACAGAGACAGATCTTCGGCAGTTCGTCGGAAGATGTCGATTCCCTTGTAGTCGCTACCTACCTAGTGTCGATTCCACGCCAACGATGAAGAGGAGATGGATTCTCAACCGTCGTCTCCCTGCTCTTTCTCCACTTCTTCCTGCCCTCATCGTTGGGATTTATGGGTTTCATAGGGATTTTGGGAAACGACACAGATGTGAAGAGAGATAGAGGAAAGGTCGATTTTGATTTTTTGTTTTGGTTTTAGGAAGCTTCAAAATCAGTGAGAATTAGGATAATCAGAGATCTGGGACTGTAGAAGAGAGGGCGTCAGGGCGATGAAGAAATTGGGGGAAATTAAAGTAAAATTTTTATTATTTTTTTTATAAATTTGTTAATTTATGACATGTAATTATTAAATAAATTTTAATTATGACGTGTCACTTTTGGTTGAGTTGGCGCGCTAACGTGTGCGCTGAGTTGGGGCCTAGTCAGCAAACAGTCAAAGTAGTTAACGGAGTTAATAACACCGTTAAAGTATCTAACGGAAATGACTATATTTGTTCAATACCATTTACAAAATCTGGCTATAAGTGGTATTTCTCCGAATTTGGCTATTATTGTCATAAACGCGAAAGTTTTGGCTATACAACTGTATTTTGCCATTAAAAAATAATCCTAGGTTCGAAACTAAATAGAAGATAATTTAGTCAATACATCATCAAACCTAATATAAATACCATTTTTCTATCAATCCTTCCCCACCACCCACCTCTCTCTCTCACACACAAAAACCCAGAAACCCATCTTCTCCTCTCTCTAAAGAAACTCTGTTCTCCATCGACTACCCATCCAGTTCGACTACGCCTACATCGATCTTAGCCTAGCCTGCAACGGACTCGCCATCACCCGCAACCGTGTGCCTGCGATGTTTCGTCCGCAACCGCCTCACCACCGCTTGCAACCGCGTCACCATCACCCGCAACTACCTCGCCATCGCCATGCGCTACACTCAACTCTCTCGGCCTCATCTATGTCGACGCTTTGATAACACCACAACACTTGCGGCTGGAGAGGAGGCGACTCGTCGTATGATAGCGGAAGAGGAAACAAAACCAGATATGGGAAGAGGTTTTCGTTCGATGGAGAGAAACGAGCATGCACCACCCTTACTTCCGCCGGCCTTGCCTACGTTGGCTTCCCACCACCACTGTCATCAATCGCTCGCAGATAGCATGCGTGTAGGAAAAACGAGAAGTTGTTGCCAGATCTATATTATTATTTGATTAGTAGTAATTTTGGGTTAGTAGTGATGGAGTAGTATTTTTTATATGTATTAGTAGTCATTGTTATTGTAATCAGCAGTGGAGCAGTGATATTTGTAAAGTTAGTAGTGTTTTGTATATTAGTAGTAGTATTTATTCTTTGTGGTACTTATTTCTATTATAGTATTGTTGTTTCAAAAAATCATCAACTTCTGCTAATTAAAAAACGCTACTAATAACAATAAAATCTTGTTTTAAAAAATCATCAACTTCTGTTAATTAAAAAACACTACTAAAAACAATAATAATCACTAGTGAATACTATAAAATCACTACAACATCCAAGCTAAATCACTACTAATTTAACCTATTTTAGTTTTTCGATAGTATTTTTTCCTGTTAAATTCTTTGTGAGGGAGGAGAGGGATAATTAAAATTTAATTTATTTATTAAATTTAAATTTTTAAAAATACCAAATAATCCCTTTGTTGGCTCTTCGCCATATAATTTAACTTAAAAATAATGAGAGGTCAGAAGGTCAATTTATAGAAGTCCACCGTCTCCTTCAGTGCCAATGTTTCCACAGCAGAAGCTCAAGCGATAATATCGACTCTAGGTGTTTCCCCAAGTGGTGATCAGGAGGTATATCTTGGCCTCCCAATCCGGATATCTCGGTCGAAACAAGAGTCATTCCGTTACATTGACGACAACCTGCTGCAGAAGATTCAACGTTGGAAATCCCAGCCCATGTCATTAGCTGGAAGGCAAAGGTACTGATGTTTGTTGGATTTTCCTCCCCTAACTATGCTATGTCCAGTTTTCGCATCCCTTTCACCTTTTGTCACATGCTTAACGGGCATTTAGCTCGGCTCTGGTGGGCATCTCAGGACAAAGAGAATGGGATGAAATGAGCCTCATGGCATGGGCTCTGTCGGCCAAAATCCGCCGGGGGTCTGGGCTTCCGGGACTTTGACAGCAACAACATTTCCTTGTTAGCCAAACAAAAGTGGCAAATTATTCAATGCCCGGATGGACTCCCTGCCTCCAACTACCAAGGAAGGTATTTTCCTCAATCCTCCTTTTTACTTGCCCCTCAGGGCGCTCGACCCTCATGGGCTTGGCAGAGTATTCTTGTGGGTAGAAATCTCCTTCAATCCGGCCTCTGCTGGCAAATAGGCTCGGGTGCTTCTGTGAGGATCATAGATGATACTTGGCTGCCAACCTGCCCTCCGTCCCGGCTAGCCCTTCTGCCTGGCGCGTCCTTACCTGGGCCACCTGTTTCTTCCTTGATTGATCATGGATCTGGCAGTTGGAAGGTATCTCTCCTAGTCTCTCTATTTGATGGGGATACCGTCAAGATTATTAGATCTATTCCCCTGCCAATTTTCCCCGTTTCTGACCGTTTAGTATGGCATTAGGAGAAATAAGGTGAGTATTCGGTAAGTCAGGTTATAGAGTAGTCTCAGCCGATTTTATTCATAATCCCTCAACCATTCCCCTTATATTTGACGCACCTGCTTGGAAAAAGTTATGGTCCCTCAATGTTCCCCCTAAGCTTCGTTTATTCCTATGGCGTGTCATCAAAGGTTATCTTCCTTTACGAGACGTTCTCGGAGAAAAGGAACTAATTGATGATGAGGATTTGGAGGGTGTGAAGTGCCCGGTTTGTTCGGAGGGTCTCGAGACCATGGTCCACTTGTTTATGCATTGCAGGGTGGTTGTGGAATTTTGGAACCTTGTTGATCTTAACCATTTACGACTACAGGTTTGCCATATGCATGTCTCTGTTGGTTGGCGGTGGTTTCTTTTTCATGCAGGTCTTCCCGAGGAGGTTCTTAGTCGACTTGTATTTGGATTTTGGCGTGTTTGGAAGGCTAGGTGCTCCACCACGTACGATGGTCTTCAGTTCCTCCCATCTACCATGACGCGACAATTCCATTCCCAAGTTGAAGAATGGTCTTCTACTCAAGCGGCTTTGGCTGCCTCAAGTAGTTTTCGTTCACGTCACTCAGTTCCTCTCGGGGTTTGCAATCCTACTCCTCCTCCAATTCCACAAGGTTCTATCCTAGTTCACTTTGATGGAGCAACAAAATCAGCGATTGGGGGAGGAGTGGGATTTGTCGATTTTGCAGGACCAGATGACATTTAATTCTCGTTTGGAAAGTATTATAACTATTTGGATGATGCTTTCATCATTGAGCTCATGGCACTTAGAGATGCACTTCGATGGTGTCTCTGGCATTCAATTTCTAATGTCTTATTATGTGTTGATGCGCAGGTGATCATTCAAATGGTGAACCGCAAGGACTCGTCCCATGCACAAGCTGGTAGCCTTCTATCTGAAGTTCAGGTTCTTCGTGCCTCCTTTCAGCGGTCATCGTTCTACTTCGCCACGCGTAAGTATAATAGGGCTGCCCATCTCGTGACAAAATAAGCCCTCTCATCGTTGGATCGTCGGTTGGTCGACCATCGGCTTTTCCTTAATTCTACCTTGTAATTTTGACCTGCAAAGGTCCCCATTTTTTGTCGTATATGTTGTATTCCCTCTCGGGATATCTTTGGCAAAACTAGTATACATATTTGTCAAACACCGGGGGTGCTCAATTAGTACGATATTGTCCGCTTTGGGCCAAACCCACACTGTTTTATTCTTGGGTATCCTCCCCAAGAACTTTGTGTCCTTTCCTCAGCAATTATCTTGATCCACCAGACACCTTGTATCGATGGGCTTCTCGTTACAAGGATTTTCTCAGACGCGGAACTGTCTTTGATCCGCCAAACAAACGTAGATCTCTCTAGATCCACCACTCCTAGATCTACCAAACATACGCGAATCGCAAATCCAGAGGTCACCGAATGAGGGTCCCACCAAACTAATGTTCACCGCCCCGGATCCGTCGAACCAGACTCTGATACCACTTGTCGAAACTGGACAACCCATTAGTACGATATTGTCCGCTTTGGGCCAAGCCCACACGGTTTTATTCATGATTGTCCTCTCCAAAAGGCCTCGTACTAATTGGCTTGGTGGACATTAATATACAAGGGTCCCTTCCCTTGTATTATCGACGTAGTACTTGGATTGTCCCATAACAATTTCTTTTCCACTATTAGTAACGAGTTTCACTTTTCTTTCTTTTATATTTATACTGTGAAAGTTTCATCCAACACAGCTGGATTTCTCTGACCGTAGCCAGTGGCGAATCCAGGGGGTGGCCACCCCGGGCCACGGCCCACCCCTCCTTTGGATACGAAGCTAATATAACCCTTATGCGTTTATCGATTAGCCATTTGGTCCAGTGCTATTTTATAATAAAATTGTGTGTAATTAGGAAAATGAGTAAGATGAACATATTCAAATATAACTCTATATTTAGTCTAGAAATTCTACCTATAATGATTCTCGTCTAAAAAAAACAAACAATGAAACCTAAAATTCTAAAAGCCTAAAATGTAAAAGGCTAAGAAATATGAGGTTTGTTCACTTGAAAATGACTAGAGCAGCTGATGGAAATAGGGATGGATACACAATACAAATTGATTGGTCGATTGATTAATCTTTTGTTGATATTGTCCGCTTCAACAGCTACTATGGAGATAACCTTTTCAATAATGGAACAGGTGAAAAATGATTTGCGCAACAAAATGAGCGATGAATTGATCGCCGATTGGTTAACTATTTTATTTGAAAGAGAATAGTATGCTATTTGTATGGATGTAGACTCCATTATTGATATTCAAAACATTAAAAGATCGACATGTACAATTGAGATCGTAAAAAACTATGATTTTTTACGGTATCTAGTTTTATAATAAAATACGGCTCAGTGCTCTACTATGTCCTGGATCCGCCACTGACCGTAGCATCACACTATGTGATGAATGAGAAGAATGGAGAAAGCAACTTACATCCTCGAAAACCCTAATCCCGAAGATGTTGTTAGACATGCTCGACTAGTTAGGCTCGAGAGAGCTGGCTTGATTCTTACCTGGTTGAGTGAACCTCATAAGCTCTCTTGATCCTGCAAACCTTATAACATCAAAATACGCGCGATCAAGCTCATCATCCTCTCAGTAAACGATTGGGATAACGGTTCCATTACACACAACTCCGCAACACAATTCGAAACGTATTCCGCGATCGAAAGGAATAATACGCATTACGATCATGTACAGCTAGCCAAGAAGCATGGGTGAACGAAATTACTGGAATTGGTAGACAATGTCGTTGACAATTAACAATTTCCTTCTCTTTTACAGAGCTCCAATGTTCTTGAGGCCAAGAACAACTCCAACGCCAATGATGTGGCCGACGGTACCGCAAGCCAAGGTGTCGGCGAGCGTGAACCCAGCTGGGTCCCCTGTTTGTAGCCCGGAGTCCCTCGCCTCCAGCTTCAGCCCTGCCGTCGCCTTCCTGTTTGCCGACGGTGCCAGCCCAAATCTCCCAGCAAACAGCATCAAGCTCGTCGCCGTCACCATTATCTGGCCCAAAGTCGATGAGAATTGCGAAAATCTATGAGTTCAACAAAAAACAGAGAGAAGCAGGGGAAATACAACTACAAGTGAACGAACCAAGTTAGTGGGCGAGCCAATAAAGTCCATACGAGCACCCAATGCTCCATTTCCCCTGCCGCGTCTCATCGGCACAACAGCTGCCTGCCATAAAAGAATGATGCTCAGAAAACCAAAACCAACCCGACAAATATCTCCAAAACGAAGGCGCGGAAATGAAACTGACCAGGGATTTGTTGACGGGGGAGAGTGAGGTCTGGGTTCTGAGCCCGCTGAACTGCGGGAGAGTAGCGGACATCATGGCGGCGGCCATCTTTGCAGTTATTAGAGGCGAGCCTTAGATCTGTGATTGCCTGATAGCGTTTCGATTGTGTGATTAGCAGATGGCAGGTGGGTGGGTGGAAATTTTTGGGCGAATATAAACGAGGGAGGGGAGATTGCGGTGAGAAGCTTGTGGCGTTTAGAATGCCAGTAATGGATACACTAGAGATCCTTGCTGCTGACTTGGCAGCCTTCTATAGGGTTTTCTCTCTTCGGGATAAGGGTCCTTGTCCATCTCTCCAATCCAGTCACAAACTCACAATTATACTTAGGGGTGGGCATTGGGTGGGTCGGGTGGATTTTGACCATAAAATGCACCCACCCGCGCTTAAACGGATTGATAATTTTTAACCCACCACCCACCCACATTTAGTCTCGGGTTGGGTCGGGCGGATGGTGGATGATGCGGGTGGGTTTGTGGGTTCACCCACATCACAATGCATATAATATAAAGGAGTCAACTTGACATGATAATAGGTGAAGAGAATCATCGAATTAGTCGAATTAGTTATTAAATTGGACAAAAATTCTATTATGAAAGAGTTTTCTACAGATTGAGACGATTATTAGGTGAAAGGAACTAAGGAAAATAATTCCACAAAGGAAAGAACGGTGGTCTAGGCACAAGAATTAGAGGAAAAAGTAAAGGGAAGAAGATGGGATCTCTATTTGGAAGGTTGGCTTTGAGGTTCAAACTCCAGGAGCAGTCCGAGTTTATATCTAACGTCTCCACTCTCCTCTCTCTAACGCCAACGACTTTGATTTTTTTGCTGTTGGGTTGAGCGGGTCACCCGCACACTCACCCACAACCCACCCACCACCCGGCGGATGGCTCCCAGCGCAACCCGTCACCCACCCACAGACCCACCCACTTAACAAAATTCGGGTCAAATGCGGGTGGGTCGGCCCAAACCCGCGGATGATCCGCCCGCATGCCCAGCCCTAATTATACTGCCCAAGCCACGGGGCCACAGCCAACAAGGGTAGTTATTACTTATCCGCATAGCTGTCCATCGGGTGGGTTCGGGTTGGGTTCAATCGGGTTCGAGTTCAAACGGGTTGCGGGTTATTCCGTTTCGGGTTAGTCGGGTTGCGGATTCATCAGGTACGGATTCAATCGGGATGCAGGCAAATCGGGTTGCGGGTTCATCGGATTTTAGGTCGGGCAGGTTGCAGGCGGATCGGGTTTCGGGTTGTTCGGGTCACCGCATCGAGTAACTTACTCATTACTCGTTACCAACTTACACATTTTATTACACTAATTTATAATATTTTTCTCAAATTTTTAACCATTTTATTTCTACCTCGTATATATATACTTAATTTTTTAGAAAAAAAACAAGCCAAAATGTTAAATCAATTTGTATGACTTGTAAACTTGTTATCTAATTAATCATAATTAGTAAAGTACACTAGCTAATAGTAATGGCGATATCAACATTTGCTACCAAAAGACACCATTAATTATTTATTTGATATTTTAGTATTATTTTAGTACTGCAATTGGATTACAGTATCTCATTTAGTATAACCATGCAAATGTGGTATTTGGCGTGTGGTATTTGGCAAAAGCAGAGCGATAAAAGGAGTTATTTCGAAATAACTCATTGCCCAAATAACTTCAGTAAACTGTTGCCAAACGTGTTATTTGTAAAATTGTTCGAATTATCCTAAAAATTGAACCATTAAAGATTAACTATCAAATTTAGTAAAATTATTGTGACTTCAATCATAACTTACTCGATAACATATATCCTATACACTTAGCCTTACCCTCAACCGTCAATATTAAGTTACTATATGTTGTTGATTGTATACCCTAAACCATCAATACATTATACACTAACCACATACCCTATACCCTAACCATATGTCCTTAATAGTTGTGATTTTGCTAGTATAGTTAATTTAAAACTGAAATTCATACTTTGATTTTCAAAATATAGATAAAAAGCGATATTTGTTAATTGCTATACCCTAACCATATATCCTATACTCTACACCATATACCTTGTACCCTAACCACGTACCACAAACATAAATTAAAAAGGGATCTCCTGCCGTTAAAGACTTCAAATGACTTCAAGTGAACATATGTTAAGAAAAAACTTAGAACCGTCAAAACCATCAATATCTTATACCCTAACCATATACACTCTAAACCATCTATACCTTATACCCTATACTCTAACCATATACTTTATACCCTAAACAACGAACCGTCAAAGATTACTTATCAAGTTTAGTATAATTGTTGTAACTAATGATTAATTTATTTATTAGAACATAAAAAATTATATATATAAATGCCTTCAAAGCATATAAGAATAAATTTAAGTAGTCATGTCCTCCATATAAAATTAAAGATTCATATTTCAAAGGCTAAAATTTTGAAAAATCAAAAAAAGTTGAAAACACCAAATTGGTTTCATTTTTCTTTTTCACAAAAAAAAAACTAAAATTTCTCTCATTCTTTCTCCTTCCATAAATTAGAAACACTCAATTTTCCCTCATCTTAATTTTTCATAAAATTGAAAGAACCAAATTTCCCTCTTTCTTCCTTCCTTCCACAAAAGCTCAAAAGTTTCTTCCTTATTTCTCTTTCATAATCAAAAGAACCAAACTTTCCCATTTTTTTTTCTTCCCACAAATCAAAACCACCAAAATTCTCACTTGTTTCTTTTCTAAAAAATTTAAAGAACCAAATTTCCCTCTTCTTTCTCTTCCCAAAAAGTTGAATACACCAAAATTTCTCTCTTCTTTTAAAAACATAAAATTACCAAAGACATTACTTTATTTTATTTATATTTAATTTATAATTTTATTGAATAGTTAAATTAACCAAAATTTTAATTTATATATTATATTAATATTTTTCATGATCTCAATTATTAACTCTTCATTATTAATATTGACATTATGTTGATTTTATATTTTATATTTACTTTTTAAATTTTGTTAAAGAACTTAGTGTTCAAGTGACCTTCATGTTTCAATTTTTGTAATTTTCTTAAAATACATAGTATCAAGTGAGTTTCATATTTTTTAAATTCCCTATACGAAATGAAAAAATAATTTACCTAAGTTTAGAATGAAAAACTTTATTTTGAAAAACTATGTATTGTATATTATAATAATTATTCAAGTGGATTAGGTGAAGTTCGGGTTGAGTCGGGCGGGTTACGGGTTAGTCGGGTTCGGGTCAATCGGGTTCGGGTTAACCGGGTTGCGGGTCAGTCGGGTTGCGGGTCAGTCGGGTTGTGGGTTAGTCGCGTTGCGGGTCAGGCGGGTTGCGGGTTGTTGACTTTTAGTCAATTCAGATTGCGGTCGGGTTGTGGGTCGGGTTAATTGGGTCGGGATATGTTTTGACACCTATACTTATCAGTATATGTCGTCAATGGTGAGGTTCGAGTCGTGTTGAATCGGGTTATGTGTCAATTGAGTTGAAAGTTAATCAAATTTGATTCTATCGGATTGTGGGTTGATTGGACTACGGTCAATCGGGTTACGCATCAAGCAAGTTAATCGGATTACAGATTGTTCCAGTTACGGGTATGTCAAATCACGGAGTATTCGAGACCGACATTGATATTAATTTTTTCTAGTGACTAAACATGACATGATTTAGTAATCTCAGTGACCAAATGTGACATTTACCCCTTAGTTTTCTGAATTTTGAATTTTTCATCAAATTTACTTCTACTTCATAGGTACTCATAAAAATAGGGAAACTAATCAAATATATTAAACTATTTATCCTTTTTTAGATGATTTATTTACTTAATCATTTTATTACTGTTAGGGGTGGGCAATGGGTTGGTCCATACAGGACCACACTGGAACAAATCGATGTTAGAATCGGATCACACCGAATCAAATATAATATTATTCGATCATTAGTCCAATGAATTTTATAAATGCTGAATAAAAATGGATGAAATTGATATTTGGACCAAACCAAAGTGGACCATAGCGGACTCTGAATGCACTATTGGTCTAGTTCTTGGTTCTGAGATATCTTGCACTTTTGAACCGCGGTTCTCCTAAGTTTGTTCCGATTTGCTCCGCACCAGACCGATGCCCACCCCTAATTACTGTACTAATTTATGGATTTCTATATTAGGACTATGTTTATCGATAGAGGGTTTTGGATCTTTGACTTTTGGGAGAAGAGGGGAAAATGCTTGTTTCATGAGTGGTGGGAATGAGAGGCAAAATTGGATTTGGAGGAAAACGTTCACTCCACCGGTTTGGATGAAAATTAAATTTGAGGGGACTTTTCATGTGTGTGGGAGGCCAAATTGAATCTACGAAAGTTTTGGCCTAGTTAGTGTAAAAAAACTTTATCTTCGAACTTTTTTTTTTTTTTGACAAAAGATAATCATATATTGATTGAGAAATAGGCAGTTACATCCTGGATCCAAGCCAGGCCAGGAAATCAAAATACCGACATATAGTCGGGGACAAAGACAGGGCTTTCCTAGCTACCAAATGAGCTACCCTATTGCTATCCCGACCTATAAATCGAACACTAAACAATGCATTCGCCCTCAGCATCATCACAATCTCCTCCAGAATAGTCCCAACACGACTGTCCCTCACATCTTCCATGCAGACCTTATCAATGATCACCTTAGCATCCCCTTCAAACTGCATCGCCGAAAAGCCATGCTCCAGACACCAGCATATAGCCTCCCGGAGAGTTAAAAGCTCCACCACCACAGGATCCTCAATGCAAGGGAACTGCAGCCCAATCGCCCCAAGGACGCCCCCCATCTCATCCGAAACTACAAACCCACCCGCAGAATGCGATCCCCTGCGAACTGCCCCATCCCACCGACACACAGGCCCCACCGCCTCCCCCCCCCCCCGGCACCACAGTTTGCTGCTGGCTAATACCTGGAACGGAACGAGGATCCGGAGGCAGCCGGACCCACTCATTAACCTGTTGATTATACTGCCTCATTAAGGCCGGAATCCCAAACTGTTTTCCTTCAAAAACCACCCAGTTACGAGACTTCCAGATCCTCCAAAGGAGAGCAGTGACCATCATGAAATGAGTGGGCTGATGCAGGATCGAGAACAGCTTCTTCAGAAACAACGGGAACGTATACTGAGGCAACCCCTCCCCGAGATACTCCAACCCAGCCTGATTCCAAAGTGCCCTAGCCACAGGACAACTCAGGAACAGGTGCTCCATTGTTTCCCGCTCATCCCAACAAACCGGGCACCGAGGATGTATCTCAATATCCCGCTCAACAAGTGCTTCGGTCGTCGGGAGGATTCTATTAAAAATCTGCCATACAAAAATCCGCAGCTTAGGAGGAATGCTTGAATTCCAAAGCCGGATCCAACTCACCCTATCCATCCAGCTAACCTGAGACCGCCATCGACCATTCTGCTGATCCAACCCTACCGCAAGGTGGTATGCCGACTTCACCGAAAAGACACCATCAGCTGTGCCTTGCCAGATCAAACGGTCATCAATATCCTGTCTCGGAAGGGGGATAGCCTTAATCACTTTACAAATTTGGGGATCAAACCATTGACTCAGTTTATCATCACACCATCGCCCTTCCCCTGCACAAAGCACCTCGGCAACCCTAACCTCACCCTCTGCAGGTAGAACACGAGGGTTAAACACCAAGGGGTAATTAGGCGAGAGGGGGACCCAATTCGACTCCAGCAGCAGGGCCGTCTGGCCATTACCAATCTGCCACCGTAAGCCCTTAGAAAGTAATTGACGCCCAAACAGAATGCCCTGCCAGCCCAAAGACGGGCGGGATCGAGCCGTAGCTGAGAGGAACGAGCCATTTGGAAAGTACTTCCCTTTATAAACCTGGGCAAGCAGAGACTGGGGCTCAGACAAAATGCGCCAACCAATCTTAGCCAACAAAGCCTGATTGAAAAGCTCAAACTTCCGAAAACCCATCCCCCCTTCGTGTTTACTACGACAAAGGTTACGCCAAGACATCCACCTAATCTTGGATTGCCCCTCCTCATCCCCCCACCAAAAACGAGCAACATGCTTATCCAACAGGCGACAAAGAGATAACGGAAGTCGGAAGCAAGACATCACATGCAAAGGCAGCGCCAAGGCTACCGACTTAATCAAAGTCTCCTTAGCCGCCCAGGACAGAGTCCTCCTCTTCCACCCTTGCAACCGTTCTAACAACTTCTCCTCCAAATAGCGAAAAGTCGCCATTTTGGAACGCGCTATCAAAGTGGGGAGGCCAAGATATCTATCCTGCACTCCTACAGCCCCCACTCCAAGAATTGCCCCTAAGAATTCCTGATCTGGCAGAGAGATATTCTTACTAAAGCAAACCGCCGACTTACTCAAATTCACTTTCTGCCCACTTAGCTCCTCATACTCATTCAAAATCTCAATCAGATTCTCACACTCCTGTAACGATCCACGGAGGAATAAATAAGAATCATCAGCAAAGAATAAATGAGATATCCGGGGAGCCCGAGGCGCTACTTTGACCCCCTCTAACCTCTTCTCCGAAATGGCCTTCCGGAGCAGGGCCGCGAACCCCTCCTTACAGAGCACAAAAAGAAGGGGAGAAAGAGGATCCCCTTGCCGGAGCCCCCTCGAAGACCGAAAGAATCCAGAGGGAGCTCCATTCATGAGAACCGAGAAAGAAGCCGATTGCAGACACTCTTGCACCCATCCTCTCCAGGTTGAACTAAACCCCATCTTCTCCAAAACCGCAAGTAGAAAGGACCATTCCACTCTGTCATAGGCCTTTTCCATGTCAACCTTCAGAGCCATGTACCCCTTCTTCCCTCGGGTTTTAATCTTCAGATAGTGCATTAGTTCATGCCCTAGGAGGATATTCTCTACTATCTGCCTATCTCGAATAAACGCATTTTGCCCCGACGAGATAAGACTAGGCAAAACCTTTGCAAGCCTCTCTGCCATAATTTTAGTAATTACTTTGTACACAAACTGGCACAGGCTAATCGGGCGGAGTTGCTTAATGGATTCCACCTGGTCCACCTTGGGGATCAAAGTTAACCAGGTATGATTGAAGCTGCGGAGCATCCGACTAGTCTCAAAGAAAGAACTAACCGCCTCAATCACCGAATCTCCTACAATCTCCCAAAAAGCTTTAAAGAATTTTCCAGTAAATCCATCCGATCCCGGTGCCTGTTTCGAGCCCATACCGAAAACAGTTCTTCGGATCTCCTCAGGGTGGACTACCTCCGTGAGATTCGCATTCATCTCCTGGGTAACACTAGGCGCAATCGGGAGGTCCGCCACCCTCCCAGTCATATTCGGAACCTGGCTTTCCGAAGTGAAGAGGGTTTGGTAGAAACCATTGGCTATATCAGCCTTCCCTCGTTCTTCCGTAACCCATTCCCCATCCGCATTATACAGCCCCGCAACAAAATTTCGTTTCCGACGGGCTCTCGTGACCGTGTGGAAATACGAAGAGTTCTTGTCCCCTCTTTGTAACCATCGTACCCGGGACTTCTGCTGCCAGTATTCCTCTTCAGCCTCCCACTGCCTGCTCAAACTTTATCTTCGAACTTTAGAAAAACAATGTGGAAAATTATGTCATAATTGATCTCATTAATTGAATATTTTTACTTAAAAGGTCCTAACACTAGTATACAATAGTCAATAACTTGAATTAAATTTTGTCGTGTCAATAGTTTGATGGGTGATGAAATATGTTGCAAACCAAGTAGATTATTATATAACTGTACATTAATCAATTTCTGACTTAGTAAATTGAGTTAGAGTCACATTACACAATGCTTTATATGTACACGCGTTTAAGCGAGTGGATCGAGGACGTGACCTCTATTTGTGCCACTTCTCTTTGCTTGTATGCATGTGGGACTATCCTTGTGTTGGTTTTCCATCCATTCATGTGCTATTGTGCTTATACATATCCTATGTATGAATGGATTGGAATTAAAGTATGGGGTGGTCGTATTAGTCTTTATCTAATGACCATAACACTAGAAGATCTCCTCACGATGATAAATGATATATGGTTTAGAATGCCCTAAAGGAGCATTTTCCTACTTCTATAAAGTAAGGGTCTCCCCATTGCATTCATCCTACCTTAGTAAATACGACAATCATTGAGTGTGCTCGCCCTTATGCGACAATACTTGGTGGTCAACGATTAGCCAAAAGTCATGTTTGTCGCTAATGTGACTCGCGCCAAGAAGGATTATCCGGAATATGTCTCCCGAGGAAGTTGCACGACGTCGTATGGATGGGTTATGCTATAATTGTGACGAGCGGTTTACTTATGGACATTGATGCGCTAATAACCATGTGTTCGTAATGATTGGAGATTTCGAGCAAGACGGCGCGAGCCTGGATGGAGCGGAAGACCAACCTTGGGGACGAGGTTGCTTAAGGGGGAGGATTGATGAATTAAAACATCGTTTGGGCCACGTGGTCGATAATTATTATTATTCATAATTAGTATTATAATTTAGTTGAGATATTATTGTTGGTTTATGCTTTATTATGTCTTGTCTAGGAAGTTATTATATACCTTGTCATTTTAGGATTGGTTTACCTAGTCTTTTGAGGAAAAGGATTTGTGGGATTAGTCCTATAAATATGTACTTGCCTCTATGTTTTTAATCATGAATGAGAAGAAAATTATTCCAGTAATTATCGTTGTTGCATAGGAGTAGAAGTAAAGTATTTAGCGATCTTCGATGTGTGTGAATTCTTGCATGCGTCACTACCATGTACAATGCATCCCAACTTGACTGTCCATTGGTCGAATCTTATGCAAATTGTAGCACTAATCTCAATATAGAGCTTTGCAAACCCTAACTCTGTCTCACGTTTGTTTGGCCAATCCACACATAGTGGATGACCTAGGGAGCTAACAATTTGTCGAAATCCTTCTTCGTTACAAGGTTAGTCAGATAAATTAAAAAGTCTTATCCATACCGAAATGACATGTCGAGTGGTCAAATTTCAGGATCTAATCGAGGGGGAAATAACATATTTTCACGATGATGCCAATGGTCATCCTCGAAAAGTCACTAACATATCTTAGACGTAGGTACTTGAAATAGGACAAGCTTATCCCCAACCATGTAATACCAACCTCACTCGTCTTCTCAACATTGATGAGGTATGCTCACCCCTTGTAAAAAAAAAAATCAATTCCGTTTAAAAATTTCATATCTCATATCTCTCAATTTAAAATAGATAAATTAAAATGACAAAATCTCCGAAACCTTAAGTTTGGTTGAACTCAAACTTCGTTTCCGTTCACAAGGAGGATTCTAACCGACAAAGTTAGGCGAATCAATTTTTCATTGAGAAAATAAACCGCTGTCTTTTAATTATTCTAAGCACCACTATCTATTAATTACTAATGGAAAGAACCATGAAATCATTGATAAACGAATAAAGAGTGTGATGAGCTACATCGTGACCCCTATAAACTAAACTATCCGCTAAGAAGTTCGCCTCATAATAAATGTGACTAACTCTGTGTGTCACAATCTTTAGTATGTAGCTCTCGAAAGCAAGAAGGTGGCTGGCATGCTGGTGGTGGTGGTCAATCGATTGTTGAAGGGAAGAGGGGGGGGTGTTGAAATTACAGATTCCACGCCATTTTACAACTCAACGGCAGAAAACGGGCAGTGAAAAGGTCAAAAAAGAAGCAGCCTACAATCACGGGTCAGGTTATATATGCTTTAACAACCAACCGTTTCTAAGACACCTAAATATAAACAACAACCTTAACAACAAACACAACCTAAACAAAGGAAACCGCAAAACAAGCCTACATGCTACAGGCTACAGCTACAAACAGGAAACACAAGAAAATTAGGGAGGGAAGGGAAGACAGAAAACAACAAACCAGAAACCTAAGGACGAATTAGAGAGAGTGCCGATGATGCAGTCTCTCTTCTTTCCAGGACGAGCAATGTTAATGTTACCCATCACATTAATCCATCCTTGATTCGGATTTCCTCATTTTCCCCATCCTGAAACCAATCTCAATGGAGAGTCGGCTGCGGGCATTTTCGTCGCCGGAATTGGTGAATGCTGCTGCTGCAACTATTACCCAGAACCCTCCTTCCACCGGCAGCAAACCCCAGCAACCACCATTGCAGGATTATAGCTTAGAAGGTCGGTGGGTCGGCCGGTCAGGCTTCCATCATCCGTTCTGCTTTTTTTGATTGATTGTTGATGAGCAATCATCCTAATCCTAATCGGCTTCTGGGTTTTGTTTGGCAGGGATCGCCGCCAACGTGAAGCTGCTGCTGAAGGTTATACGTGATCACAATGAGGCGAGCGCCAGAGACTACGATGACCGGAAAACCCAGAGGGTCGCCGGGATGATCACCATCCTCGACGACATTAAATCCCGCCTCGAGAGATCCCATTCCAATTCCAAAAAGAGGATGGCCCAGCTCCGCCGCTGCAACACCGATCTCCGCCCCAATCGCGCCGCGGCCGCCGAGAAGAAGGGGCCCGAGGCCGCCGCCATCCCCGACGACAAGGAGAAGCTCAGGAGGCAGCTGAGCTCGTGCATTGCGGCGAGGAAGAGCCTGGAGATGCTGTGCTCGAGCTTGGGGAAAGAGAAGGAGATCATGGGTTCCCAACTGGCCAGAAGAGTCAGCGAGCTCAGCGAAATGGAGGAGCTGGTCAACCTCCTCAAAACTCAGAACGAAACCCTGACGTCCAAGCTCCAGGCCTCCGCCGCCGGAGCGACAGGGGACTGCCAGGGGGTGAACAACGCCGCGCTCCAGGAACGGAACAAGCAGCTCTCCGACCAGCTGCTCAAGTCGCTCGACAGTTACAGGACCATGAAGAGGAAGTACAAGGGAGCTAAGGAGGAATGCTCGGCGCTGCGGGAGGCCGTGGAGGAGGAAACGGCGGCGGGTCTGGCCAGGATTCGGATGTTGAAACAGAGGCTGGATAACAGGGAGGACGAACCGGTGGATATTGAAGGGGAGATTGGTGCCCTGGAAAAGATGTTTGAGCAGTTCAAGGTGAAGATTTCCAAAGAGGAGAAGAAGAGAGTCACGGCGATGGCGGCGGCGGCAGACGGTGGGAAGAGGAGAGGCGAGCATGATCGCCCATCAATGTAATGTAATCCTTCCTGCTTTACTTCTGTAATTGGCCTAGCTTCAGACAGTTTAGTTGTATTCATCCAGGCTCTCTGTAACATAAAAGCAATAAGCTTTGCACAGACTCAAAACAGCAGAATGGACAGTTCTTTCATTTTTGTACAGATTAAGTCCTCTTTAAAAGAGACCCCAGAATAACTAAGACCCATTATGTAACTTCTCATTCAGAGAAAAGGTTGAAGTTGGCTGGCAGCAATGGAGTCCAGAACCCATAAGTTGCTCACTGCTATGGCTCCTGTACAGCCAGCCAACACCTTTGCACTGGTTCGCCTCTGGGTGAGAATGGAATCTTTCTTCCTCGTGTCACCTTTTTCAGGGAGCTGCAAGTTGTAGATGACCAAGGTTGAAGAAGGAGAAGAGGTTTCTGAGACTTCAAGAACTGGCTTTCTGTGTAAAATGTTGCCTCCAGCGACAGTGATTAGCTCTTGTAGATATCCCTTGTAAGAGTCTACGAAGTCTCCCATGAAGTAGAACTTGAACCCATCAAGAATCTTTGGTTGCTGCACGTAAAATGTTGCAAACATAAAAGAGGATCAGGGTGATGAGCATACGAAGTTAAGTATAAGCTTGCGATAACTGTAAACTGATTAGCAAGAAACTAGACCTTGTTAAGAACTCTGAGCCTTCCAAGTCGAGGACCATTTGTAATGCCATGAATGTCGACGTTAATTTCATACGACTCCTCCTGAACAATTTTCGTGGCAGTCATACAGGCCCTAATCCCTGTTCAAAAGCAACACACGGGTTTGTTTTATTACCATACATTTGTCGGAGAACACGGAAGTCCAATATTATAACAAGGGAGTAATGCGACGTACAGTCAATGCTGAGGATCCACTTCCCAAACAAAATACCCATTAAGGTTTTCACAGTCCTTTTGCATGCTCCGTTTGTATCCTTTGAAGCAATAACATGGGTAACACTAGAATCGAACTTCTTCAGGATTTTGGCTCCAGATACTCTCTCAAACTCTGCTACAGTTTCCTGTAGCAAACATCCAATGACTTCAAATTTTTTAATCTCAGGATGGCAAATTTCTGAAATGCCAGGAATTGAACGGTGTGGAGTTTCCTTACCCTTCCTGCATCTGAGAGAGCTGAGCAGCAAAGAACCAACTTGTCAGTTATGAAGTAAGAATCAGAACTGCGAGATCTACTGAAACCCCCGTCAAACACTTGTTTACACTTAGTTGATTTTGGTCTGATAACAAATTAACAGCAAGTTGGTTATAATTACTAAAATGAATCAAGCAGTGAAGCTGCTAGTGGGAAATCAGGATACCTTTCTGCATTTCTCAACTGAGAACCTTGCTCTTCATTGGGTAACTTAACAGAATAATGAATAGGACACAGCATGACAAAGTTCTCCTGAGAAAACAGAGAGAAGTTAAACAACTTGGAATAAAGAAACCTGGAGTCAGAATACAAAAACCCAGCATCCTACTATCTCATACGTACAGTATCCCAACGACATTCAGGGGTCATCTTGGCACACGGGACATGGAAACTCTTGCGACAACTTTTATCATAACATCCAAGAGCAGCACCCTTGAGCCCACAGCATCTGCATTTTATTCTTCTACTTCTAGCTAATTCAGCTTCAAGATTAACAGCTACATCGTCCTCAAAGTAGACATTAGGTGCCCTACACAATGAGTTCATGGAGTTAAAAAAATTGCTCACAGCTAAAAATACAACGGCAGCACAACACAGTATTAAAATACATCAAGGATTCTAGGTGTGGTAATATATATTACTACAAAGCTGAACAAGTCCTGCATAGTAGTTTCTATTTTATCGATGCAAACTCAAACCCTGCCTTTAAATTAACCATTGGAGGAGAATGTTTTTAGAAGAAACCAAACTGTTTTATCTTGGCAACGGAAATAAACATCCAATCATATGAACTATGCTCGAACTAGTCATCTCAGAATACTAACCATTCTGCACAGCTTTTATGGCAATGTATGACCTTGGACTGACCAACTTGATCTGCAGCTACAGGCCTACCATTGAGATAGTGTACTATCTCGCCTGAAGCCTGGAACATTGATTTTGAATGTTGAAAGTATATATTAAAATGAAGGTTCGTAATAGCAGCTACCGATAGGCAAACCTCAGAGTTAGAGACTACAAGTAAATAGTACCTCTGAGATTTTTGGAGAATGGCAGAAGGCACATTGTAAGATTTCCTGTTTAACAACACTGCCCCTGCAGTTGTCTTGAACCAATTTGTTGCTTTGTGGTTCACCTATCAATTGTAAGACCATTTTCTTTTCCTTAGCTTCTAACCCCAGGTAACAGAAATTAACAGAGAAGTTCGGACTTGCTTACAATGTTTAATCGTTTTCTTGTTCACATCAGAAACACTTTTCTCATGAAATGCAAGAACTTTGGAAGAGAGTTCTTGAGGCTTTTTATCTTCATGAAATCCCCTTTTCTCTGTGCATTCATTAGTGGCCTGCTTGACTTTGTCACAATCCTTCTCAAGTTTCTTAAACTTCAAAGAGCAATCAGTTTTGCAGGTATCCTTCCACGACATTTTTACAGTTCTCTTCACCTGATCATAGGACCATTTGCTTTCAGTTAATGAAGAGGGCAATTTATCAACCATTGCCTCACCAGCTAGCTTCACAGTTCCTTCAGAACCAAAAATAGCACCATCTCTGAGTTCTGTCTCATTTATTTTCCTCTTTCTGCCTCTGCGATTATCTTGAACCACTTCAAGGCATTGTGTTTTCCTTTCAGATATCTGGGTATGATGCTCCTGATTAACTAACATTTTACCTGTCAAATTATTAACAAACTATTATGTTTTACTAGTTTCTGAAGCCCCAGATACGGTATTGAACTTAAGGGATGACCACAAATACTTACCATGCTTAACCGATTTCTGGTTCACATCTGCAACACTCGTCTTGCCAATTCCATGCACTGTTGAAAAGGATGCACAGCGTGGTTTCTCTTGATCCAGTTTGTTGCTATTTTCACAAACTTCAACTGCCATAATAATTTCTTCAGACTCAAGCTTCTGCTTTTTCAACCTTGTGGAGCGATCTGATTGGCAAATCCTTTCTCTACGTACTTTTCTAGTTTTCTTGGTTTGATGATGTCTATCACTAACTTGGGTTTGACTAATTGAAGTACCCCATCCATCCAACAGATGGTCGTCAGCTAGGCTGACAGCTTCTTCTGCAACAACTGGATTATTTCCAAGTTCTGACTCATCTGCAGAAGTACCGAGATTAGTCTTCTCAGGCCTTTCCAAATTTAAGGAAACATTCTTTCTAACAAATGCTTTTCTTCGACCAAGCTTGCCAGATTCCACAGCTGGAGCACCAAGCTTATTCAAACTCGTACCACCATTCATTTCAGTACATCTTCTCAAAATTCCCCCAGAAGCACCCCCTAGCCTCTTAGTTGGTTTTCTATTAACTGATGGGATAAATATATTGTCTTCTCCTGGACAGGATGCAGTCTTCAAATCCTTATTTGATCCCTTGTGAGATGGATCAACTTTGCCAATTTGCTCACCCTGCAAGAGCGCATGAATGTTTAGTAAGAGCATAACTGTGTGCACAGCATTGACATATGAGCAAAATATACTAAACAAATAGTAAGACAGTAGTTATCAAGTGCACGAGGAAGAAACGTCAATAATAACATGATCACCTGCATCTCCAGGGGAGTCGAGAAAATATCAGCTGGGCTAGGTTTTTGTGTGCATCTAAACAGCTCACTTTCAGAATCATCAGCAAAATCTGAACTTCCAGCAACTTCTCCCTACAAGAATTTCAAATGCATAAGCAGAAGAATACACATTCAAGTTGACAACATAACTACAGCTTAAAGGTTAGGGAAACAAGAAACAAACTACAACTTACAGTTGGCAACAAACTCCCAGATTCACTGTCACTTGAGTCCTTTATGTCACTAAACCGCGGAGTACTTAGAGACGTTAAACTAAGAAACTCATCATCGTCAACAGGTGTAATCGACCTCTCAGGGCTTTCATCCCTCAACCAGAAGAGCGGTGAAAGCACCAGCTGGCCATTTTCAATGGTAGCAGCTTTCTCATTTGAGACCATTGGATTGCTCTTACCAATATGATCAACATTTACACCCGATCCAGTGTGGAATTTCTCACCCCTGATTGGGGTTTCAGAAAGAGGATACTGCGGCACTTGAACTCTCTTCTTGGTAGGGAAAGAAGGCTTTGCAGTTGGAGGAGCAGAAACCTCCTGCTTCTTTCTGGTACTTTTCTCTGACCCTTTACCATTTCTAGGGTTTCGGTCCCCAACTTTTTCCTCACGAACACCATGAGTATCTTCCTCGCCACTAATTGTGTTGCCTCCAAATTTCTTTACTTTATCTATTGACACGAACGCTATGGTGGGTGAATATATGGTTTAGACAAACAGCTCTGTCAATAAGCAAACTAAAATCTAAAATTCAGCCCAAGAGGAAAAACCCACCAGAATTCCTAAGGTTAGGTTATACGTGTAGGAATTCGAGCTTAAACCTAACTCTGAACAGGCATTGGTACGATCGATTTACCTGGAGATTTGGCTGTTGGAGCCGTCTGAGTCACAAATATGTTGAACCCTGAAGCAGCTTCCATGCTTCTGTATATGCTCACTAAGTTATCCATATGAGCAGCAGGACGGATCTCTGTGGCAACCGTCGAGAGAAAGAAGGAAAAAAAAAAAAACAGAACAACAAACCATTGAGTAGGCAGAAAACGGCAGTTCCGGCAATCTCAGAATGGAGAAAGAGAGTAGCAATCCTTACCTCTCCGCCGATACGGCAGTTTGCAGGCCGGGCAATTGGAATGGGACTTCATCGATTGCGAAATACAGGAGCTGAAAATGTCATCCAGTGAATCAGAAACCTAAGCTGCAGACCCTCGGAAGAGAAAATTCTCAGAAACGGAGAGAACAGCTGCGGATGGGATTCTTACTTGCAGAACACGTGATTGCAGGATAACGAAACCGCCGAATTCAGCAATCCCAAGCTGCGACGAAGAAAGAAGAATCGAAATCAGTAGCTGTGTGTGAAAATGCGACGGTTGCTCTGAGAGGGAAGGTTGGCGAGTATTACCAGATGGGGCACTTGAGCTCTCTGCCCATCTTCTCCAGTTGGCTTGAATCTCCCATCGTTTCTTTCTTCTCCTCCGACGAGGGAAGTTGGCTGAGCGAAGGGATAATTACTTTGCTGGCGGTGAAACCGTAAAATATGAAGGGAATGAAATCGTGTCGGAGAAGTGAACGGATTGGGCGCGCTAATCCTTCGCCCCTCTCCCAGTGTTGGTTTTTCCGATTTTCAAATTTTGCCTCCATTTCGAAAAAATTTGGCCCCGCGGGAATGGAAACGAAATCGCTTTTAAAAGAACCCGACCCGAGTCCGGCCAGACGATACGAGTTGGCCCACGAATTCATGTGTATGTGAAATGTCACAATGTTTGTATGAGTTTTAAATTTTTTACAAAATAATGAAAAAATGTGTGCATAAATCTATGTGCATTGTAGACATGTTTTATCCATTATTAAGATATACAATAAAAAAAATTGTTTCAGAACTAACACAAAAAATAAGAATTTTTTTTGCAAATGCACATTAAAAAAAATTGGAAAAATTATACACTAAAGGACCATGTTAAGACGAAAACCCTTGATAGCCTGTGAATGTGTTGGTTTGAGATTCTAAGTCAACATATAAACAACAACCATGGGGTGAGGGTTAGTCCAAACTTCAAGAATTAGCAATTGATACATGTTGAGTAAATAAAAATTAATAGCCAAACCTTTTAACATTTTCAAATTATTAGCCAAACCCTTCGAAAGACAAATTGTTAGCCAATTTTTTTGTATCGCGTCAAAATATTAACCATTTTCCTGTTATTGTTAATAATTTTGTGACTCTTTTCATAATTAAAATGGTAAATTGGAATATAGACCGTCACGACTCACGTGTCTCTTCCAACTCATCCTCATGTTTTTTAGTCAACATTACAAACAAAAATGCTAACAGTGAGTTAACGTTTGACTAATAGTTTGTATTTTGAAAGGTTGGTTGATAATTTGAAAAGTTTAAAAGATTTGGCTAATAAATTGTATTTACTCTATTATATACGATACTAAATTTGAGTCTCTTGATAGACAATTTTTTACATAAGATCGTTAGCCGAGACTTCAAGAACATTCCCATGAAAATGAGTCAATATTAGAGAAGTTGATCATCGTAAGGGGTACGATGTGTCACGTTTCACTCGGGATATACACAATTTATCCAATAATCAAGTATATTTATCGAATAATCTAAAGTCTTAATAATTGATTGAGAGTTTGTCCTAACTCGAGAATCAGGAATTGTTATATGTTTTACAAAATAATAAATTGGAGCAGTTTGGTTGACAAATCGTTATGTGCTATTCTAAATGGCACGTGATAAACCTTTACAATATGACTGATGATTGAGCGTATAAAAAAATTAGAAAATTAAAAAAGTTTTAAAGATATAGATAAATTAATTGATGTAAATGATCAAATGAAATTTTCCGACCAATAGGCCGAGTAAAAAACTAATTTTGTATTATTTTCTAACTTCTACTCAAAGGTTCAGATAAGTGTTCTACAGATTAATGAATTATTATCAATAAACTCTACGATCCCTAATCTCAATTCTCTCTCATTGTTCCCCAATTCTTTCCAGTTCCCAATTTTTTATCTTCTCAATCCCCAAATCCCCTCGAGGGAACTTCTAGTGACTATCACACTTTCAATAAAAATGAGGCAAACGATGATAATTGAGAGCGCTACTAAACATACAAAACTGCTAGGGGCTCACACCAGCTAGCTCAACCCAAACTACACCATCACAACCAGCCACAGCAGATATAATGAGTAGACGGCATCTTCCCTGTCTGGCGAACGTATTCAGCTTTCACCGCTGTTCTCTCTGCACCTCTATCCTTTCTTGATTCAGCTGCTACTCGTCTCTCCTCGGCTCTTTGCCTCGCCATCGCCACCTTCTTCACCATCCTCGCTTCTGCTTGCACTTTCGTTTGCTCCACTTGAGCCTGAAGCATCATCCCACAGCATATGAATTCCCGAATATACATGGTTTTACTTCGCTATGTAAAAGAGCGAAATCAAGAAAAGTACACTTGCTCAGTGCTCACCTCAGCTCTGCGCACCTCTGCTTCCAGCTTTGCTATCTGATGGCTTTCCCACGCTTGGATTTGTATCTCTTCTCGTTTATATCTGCCAAGAAAGAGGAGTCCTAACCCAAATAAATACCATGATCTACGAAAGATGCCTTTGGTAAAATAATATCTCAATAGTGGGGGTATCATGAGCATGACAAAGTGGAGGCAAAGAAGAAAAAAACACCTTGCTGTGTGTTTACACTTCTCAGCTTCTGCCCAAGCAGCAGCACGCTTCTCGAACTCAATCTGCTCAACTGACTCCACATCACGAGACCGTGCCATGTTCTTCTCTTCCTCGTCTTTACTCGCCCAAGCAGCAATGTTCATCTTGCCAAGCTTCACACCGAGCGCGACGATCTCCCTCCTCGTCTTCAGTTTCAGTTCTTCCTCGCTTAGTTCCCTCTTAGTACCATTCTGGTTAGCTGTGCACTTGTTGCTGCTGCCATCTTCGTGCTCCACTGGTGTGGTTGGGGGGCTGCCTCTTCTTGGTGTAGACGGGATCGATGAAGTTGGGCTGCGGATGGGAGTTGTTGCACCAACAGGGGTACCAGTCCTCGATGGTTCTTGACTCGCGATGGGTGTCATCTCAGTTCCCATGTCTCTCATACAAACTGATCTTATCACAGGCACCACTGCAAGTTCAGTTAAGAAAGGTCAAAAGCAGTTCGGTATATCATTTTTGCTCGGCCACTTTTGATATATTTGAGCGTGCTTGCTATTGTGAAATGGTGAGTCAAAATGATGCAATCTCATATACTTGGTATGAGTAGTATTTGAAAAATGCACTCTAGGTTTGTAGATTTAACCTTTTTAACTTAACATCCATCAGCAAATACACACAAAAGCGAAGTACCAAACACACCCCAAGGCCCCATGAATCGCATTCCCCAGTGACACTAAGACGAGACAAGTAGCAAACAACTTCAAGAAAAACATTCCATCAGGAGCAAACTTCTTATTAAGAATAAGTGGTCCATCCATTGTTTCCTACCTGCTTAGCAAAACCCTTGATTAAGGAAGCAACCAAAAACAACCCAAAATCGGCTGTTTTGATTGATTCCCTCAATTCTCTGCACCATTTCGTCAATTAAAGGACATAAATTTTACCTGTCCTGTCTTCTGTCGAAGTGTTCGTGGATGATAGTTCCGTTGAATCCACCTCCTTCAAATCCTTGCTCTGACCATACTGATCCATCAACGTATTTGCCTGACCAGAAATGGAGGGAGTTCCAGGTGCATCAAGGAAAGAGAATCTCTCCAACCCAGGCTGGGAAGCAGTCTGACAACAATCTACACTCTTGGTGTCCACCATTCTACCACCACCAGTGGCTACTAGCTCGGGAGCAACCCGACCCATGTGTGTAGTAACGGGCACCCGATTACTACCTTGGTTGTTGTGGAACCCGTTCTTCTTAAGGTAACCACCACCAGGATGCTGCTTCTGCTGCACGTTTTGCTTGCTGATGATCCATTTCTCTGCATCATTCCACTTGGACGAGATGGGCCTCGACATTGATCTCACCAGCTGGCTCTGTGCAGCGGATCTCTCGTTATGGAACTCGAAGCTGGACGAGCTATCGTACCCTGGATTCTCATCTTCAGTGGCTCTCGCCATGTGGACTGCATTTGAGTTGACGCTTTCGGACCTCAAGAGCTGATGTATCATGGCATGATCCAAATCGTGGGTGTTGCTTTCGTTGGGTGGATGATGGCGTCCCGTGTCAGGGTCTAATGCTGCCTCACTTGTAACAGTTGTAGATGTAAACCCTGAGGAGGGCGCCCCACCTAGAATCACAAACTCAAATGGATTACCACATATCAATCAAAAAGCCTATACTGTAGGAATCTGAAGCAAAGGTTATACTTCTTTCTAGTGGTTTATTGACTGAGCTACCTAAACAGAGATAAACAAACAGACCTTCATAGCCGAAATCTGGTTGGTTGTCGTCGTTGGAATCTAAGAGACTGCTCTTGACGAATTCAGTGTCACCAAGTCTGGAAGGAGAAGTGCGAGAGGAGCTGCAATTAGACGAACCTTCTTTCTTCCTGCCGCTGCTGCTGCTATGGTGAGGTCTAATTAGCTTCATCCTCAGTTTACTCGGCGATATCACCCCAGTCTGCGTCGGAAAAGCAAGAAGGAAATGAGAAGAGAAACTCAAACCAAAAGCAAAAAAAGAAAACCCATTTCCCTGGAGTTCATCCGACATTTCCACAAACCCAAAAAGCGCAACAGCTAAAAATCGAAACATCGGAGAAAGCAGAGCGCACACAAAAAGAAAACTCAAAGAAGAATAGGTAGAGAAAGGAATGGAAAACTCAATCAACCATTACAAGCAATAATAATTGGGTAAAGGGGAAAAAAAGGACAATGTGTTTAGTGAAGCACAAAAGAGTGGAAAAATCTCACCCAAAAACAAAAGAAGACACCGAAAATGAAGTCGAAAGGTCAGGAAAAGTGGAGCTAAGCGAGAGAGGAGAAAAGAACCCAGTATAAACAAGAAGAAATGGGAGAATGGGTAGCCGTCAGATTGTGAAGAAAAAGAGAGAGAAAGAGTTGGGGAAGCTGAAGACGAAGAAGGCTGATGGTATACCTGAACTTTGTGTATCCGCTCGTAATCCATTAGATCCTCTTCTCTCTCTCCCTCTCTGTTATTTTGTTTGCTTCTTTCTTTCTTTCTTTCTTTCTTTCTGAGTTTGCTTCCCGTGTATCCCGGCTGAAACTGTAGCCTCTGCTTGTCTCTCAGTGGTGGGGTGGGGCATACACGCAGTTGGAAGAAGCTACAGAAGCATCTCTCTCCTCTCCGGGATTCCCTGGACAAATTTTGTAGCAGAGGGAGGGAGAGAGAGAGATAGAGGCAGAAGATTGCTGCTGTTGCTGGTGTGTGAAACGGAGGAAGAGCGGGGGCCACTCCCTCCGCCTGTTTCGCTGAAGAAGAAACGAATTGAAGACGACTGTCCAACAAAAACAAAATTTTCTTTCACGTTCCACTCCAGTTTCATCAGCCTCTCTCGAAAACGTAATAGTGCGGCTAGTAGCTAGCTCCTCACTCTCCGATCACGCCACGTCAAACGGATGGTCCCCACCACCGTCAAAGGGACCTACCGCTCGTCCGGTCGGCCATTTCTTTGACCGAAGAGTACTAATTGCATTGCTTTCCTTACTAACCCATGCCATCACTTTAGGGTGGGCGTTCGATATGATTATCGGTACTCCGAATTCAGCCAAAGGGCAAATCGATTCCGAACCGAAATATAACTCGATTTGAAATGGAAAACTCGAAATCCGAAATTCTCTCTGCTGTCACTCATAAAGCCCAAACTATTCTACAAAAAAAAAAAAAAATCTAATCTACGCTCACATCTCCCACTTCCTCTTCCTTCTCCCTCTCTCTCACCACCTGCCGCAAGATTAGAGATCTAGATCCATCAGTCGCCGACGGCTACCCCGAAGAGTTCTTCTTCTTCCATTCGCCGTCGGGTTCCTTCCACCACCGAAGTCGAGCTCCGCTCCTTCCATTGCCGACTCTCCCATCTAAGACAACACTTCTTCTTACCTTCTCTTTCTCTCGCCCCAAACCTATTCTTCTCGTTTTCCCTTGGCGAGTTGACGCCAACGGGCGACGACAGAGCCTGGTAGGTGTGGTTGGGCTTTGGTTGTTCTTGTGGTAGACAAAAGTTTTGACAAGGATAAGTGATAGGTGGGAGCCTGGTAGGTGTGGTTGGGCTTAGGGTTTTGCCTGGTGGGGGACTGTGCTTTTGAAATAGGTGAGTTGGGTTGTTGGGGGTACTAGGCTAAGGAGTTTATTGGGTCATGCAGCATATTTCGGTTCATCGGTTTGGGGGTTCGAAAAATCAGTTCGGTCGAGAGGACCCTGGTTTCCGAACTTGGTCAATTTCCCTTCCAAATTCCGAACCGAACAACATTAATTCGGTTTTAGTTCTGTTTGAGTTCGGCTCGACTCGGTTTGGGTTTACCGAATCGGATGCCCACCCCTACACCACTCATCGCCATCCATGTTGGTGTTGGTCCCCATCAAAATATAGAAAATTTCTTTTATCAATTAATTTTTGCTTATATAACAGTTAACTCTTTGTAAATGTCAAGAGTTGACTGTCAATAAGCAAAAGTTAATGGAATTGGACGGAGAGTGACCAAATTTGACATTTTTAGTAATTTCGGTGATCACGAATGGAATATTATATTTTTAATGACCAAACTTGACATTTTTTAGTAATCTTAGTGACCAATCATCGCATTTATCCTCAAGAGAATTAAAGGAAATTACATACAGAGGTAATTAAACTGCCTAACAAATCCGTCAAGTATCATGACTTTATTACATTACACTCATGTTCAAATAGTTCCTCAACAATAGTAGGTGCTTGCAGTGTGCTCTCTTGTCCAAGCTGAACTCTCTCTGCCTCCTTAAAAGTTAAAATCACAGAGCTGCTATACACAAACTTCACATGGGATTTAAGTAAATATTCTATTAAGAAAACCATGTTGCATTTTCATTTTTTAGGTATACTAGAATCAATACATGCGGTGGCTACGCAACGCCGCAGGACTAAGTTATCGTAGCATGATTGTATGGTAATAAGTTAAGGTTACACTAAATTGAAGTTCGTTGTGTTACTGACAACAATGTGTGGTTAAAAGGTTTGAAAGTGTGTGCATGAGACTTTTGTATCTCGAGTTTCATAGTTAATCAACATAGAAATGTAGCATGCAGTACAATATTCACAGGTGATGGTAGAGTTGTAGAAATTTAATCCCACAAAAAATGTTGTGTACCATAGTTCTAATGGGCTCATGATTAAATGCTGCAAAGACATAGACAACATTAAATAACAATCTTCTTATTTCCGATGAATAGTCAAATAAAACTCATACTATAAGCATTTCCTACCGAATCCAACTTATTAACATAGTTCTGCTAAGAAAATACAAATTCAAGATTACGTCTTAAAGTTTCCTACCGACCGGACAAATTCTGCACTTGCATCTCTTATTTTAGCATGTCCTCATTTTTTTGTCTCTAAATTTACAATGACATAAACTTCAAATTTTACATCTCCAAGTTCAACCTTGAATTTCTTCACCTATTCTTTATTTGATTTGCCCTTCTATCTGCAACTTTACCTTCCTACTAACCTCCTTGGATTGCATAATCTTGCCTTATGTTTCCACTCCATCTGGGATTACCACCACCACTTATGCTCCCCCTGCTGTCTGTCTTCTACTATTCTTTGTCAGATGTGAAGGAGAGGAATAATAAAAGGGATTAGCATGGCTGGCGGGGAGTCTAGGACAATGGAAGGTTGGGTGATTGAAAAGAAAAGTTATCGGAGAAGGAGGGACGTGAGCGGAGAGGGTGACCCGATGGAGTATGGAGAATGATTTGTGAGAAAAAGAGAAGGAAGGTGAAGTTTTCTACTTTCATGGTCAGTAGTGAGAGGTAACGTGAAGGGCAGTTCATTAGTACTTGTGAAAGTCTCTCTCTTTTCTTTTGCTTTTGACAGGCTATGGGTGGGGTGTTTTCTTTTCACCATTATTCATTAGTGCGAGGGATTGGGGAAGGGGCAAGAAGACTCTCTAGCTAAAATTCACTAAACTCCAAAAATTCATTAAAATTGCAGCAGAATAGCGATATGCAAACCACAATAAGATATGCATAATTAAGATCTGCAAAGACTGCTTCAATATCTTACAAACAAATGATTTCCACAATTCATGATTTCTTGTCCATTGTCCCCTTGATCCAATCTATTGTTGAAAACCAAAACTCAAAAGCTCGATCGTATGACAGTGTATCGCTTTGATGGTAATTAAACAAATAAGCTCTTAGACTTAAGGAAGCAGACTATAAAATAAGAAAATTAATAAGTAGACATTAACCCTATTTTATGACAGAGGTGGTTAAGGAAACATATATAAATAAACTACCAATGAGATGAAGGTAACTGTATAATGTATAAATATAGGATTCCCATCTCCCTTAGGTAGAAACGACTGGCACTGTCCGAGGCATGGCCTCAGGCCCGTCGCAGATTGATACAGTAGTGGCACTGTCTAACAATGCAGCAGAGCAACACTAATTAGGGTTCAGAGGATGGGTGAGATTGAAGTGATGCAGTATAAAATGAGGTTTGTAGGATAATGGGACGGATTGTCATCAAGGCAAGCACCGACGGTGGAGGTAGTACTGCCAGCTACATTGGATCCCTGCGAATTGGTTTAAGGGGGGTTGGAAGTGATGGAAGCAACGTGAACCGGTACACTCGTAGGGTGAGGGTAGGGTAGGCCATGGCGTGCAAGGCTGGTGAAGGAGGAGAGGGTTATTGTACGGATCTGAAGGGAACGATCTTCCAAGCAATGCAGTAGTTAGATATTATAGGCCTATTTCCGTTTAGAGGGTGACGGGTCTTTTATCGGCCCTGTTTGGGCGACAGACATTTTCTGGTCCATTTTGTATTCGACTTTTGATAAATTGGTGGCGAAGAGAAGTTCATGTCCACTTTTGGTTTGAGGACGACAATGATGAAGTGTACATTGGTGGGCCCAAATTAATACATACCTCTTGGCAAGGCTTATCTTTGTCGTCTCGTTCTTGTGACCGAAATGCGTATGATACCAATGCCATTTTTTTTAAATTGGAAACCGAAAGTCTTATAAGAGCAAGACGGAAATTCAATTGTTGATAAATTTAAAAGTGACGGGGAGTAGTATTTTAGAGCAGAGGATGTAATCCTGATCTACAGATTTTGGAGTGGGTATCTTTGTTGTCATGGTCAGGATGGTTTTTTGGTCAAGATCAAACATTGTAAGTTTACAGAGCAGACATTAACGTAGAAATTTTGGAAAATGCGAGAAAATGGAGAGTAGAATGGTGGAGAAAAGCAGGCAACGGTGTTAAGGGAACCTAGCATAAGGAAGTGGTACGCTACATGTATGCACACCAAATCATCAACCTGAACTACTCCCATGCCTGGACAAAATGAGTGTTGCTGAATCAAAAGAGTACATAAGCAAGATACAAGACCACAATAGAGTCAAATTACACAATCCATCACAGACTTTTTATAAACAAACCAGACGAAACACATTCCATAAACAAAGGACTGACACTGAAGTTCAATAAAAGAACCACAATATAGAAACAAACCAGACGAAACATATTCCATTACGAGTACGCAATAGAGTCAAATTACATAATCCAACACAACATCAATAAAAGAACGACAACATATGAAGTTCAATAACTGGTATTATCAATAAAATACATTGACTTGGTACCAAAATCAGAGGAAATAAACCAACAGATAACACCTAAGAATGGAATACTTGGAGAGAATTACAATAGGACTGAGGACAACATTAGGTCTAACTGCAGACCACCCTTAACACGCTATCAGCCACCAAAGACCCTGCAAAAAGTGGTCAAACTGAGTCTCGCAAACTGCAGAACTGAAACATGGCAAGCGTAAAAAAAAGTGTGATCAGCTTACTAAATTGATCACTACAACTGAGAACTAAACTTTATTATGTAAATATAGTACCTGTACAAACGAAAGCAAGCAAGAGCAAGGAAATAACACTTGGCTTAGTTGGAAAATAGAGATAGAGCTGGATTGAAATTGCAGTTAGCATTTCATAGTACTGTATCTAACGGATCCAACTGAACCACACAATAGTGGCAGACGGCAGTAGTGGGCTGCATAGCTGACAACTCCACATTCCAAATAACAAATTCTCATTAGCTCGAGAACACAACATCAATAAAGGCAACGCAGTAAATAAAGTTTGCTAGCGTGTTTCCCAAATTAATTACTCGGGAACCAAGAACAAAGGGAATGCACCAGTAGGTAACACTTAGAGAAAGGAATACATGGATAGAATTATAAGGTGGGGTAACAACATCATAAAGATGTGTAAGTACAGTTCATTACTTGTCACAAAGTCGCTTCTAACTACAACAGGATTGAGAACAACATAAGTTCTTTATGATTGTAGTTAGAGTAACCTGTGCTGCCTGGCTATGCATGAATAGTACTGTTAGACGCATCCACAAAAGTTAAGTGGGAAAAATCATCGAGACGAATGAGAAACGACCAAAAAAGGTAGGCTTGTAGTTAGGCAGCTGTCACTAGCGACCACATTCTGCGGCAAAAATCCATTCCACCTACCATGGAAAAACGTTACATTGCATGAACAACTACATAGTACATTTAGTTGAAGGGTACCCGTTAACACGATCAGGGGAAGAAGCAAATAAAGAATTGGTGGACACCAACAGAAGTGTTTCTGTAGTTTGGCCCAACAACAGAAAAGGAGTGCATGCCGAATCATCATCCTGACCAATCAGCCGAATACGAAAGCTGTGTGTGGAAAACCACAGCAAACACGAGGCACACATCAGAGAGCATGACAGTGTAGGAGATAGGTTAAGAGAAGTGGCCAGATGGTTTGGACGTACCATTGTTTCAGCTGATGTAGGAGGACTGTTGCCTCGCATTTGTCACACCATAATGGGGCATCACGACAAACCGCCGCTTTGCAACAAATAGCACAACCGAGGTAGCACCGGTCTCGTGTTGTATCTATGTCGGTAATTGTGACCTTGCAGCGGAACTTGTCACCCTATAATTCCGAAGAAACCTAAGTCAGGCAACCCAACAATGCTAAACACATTTGTTTTAGGTTGGGCGACACAGTAGCCACAATGGAGAATTAATTACCATTGAAGCAGTGGACTGAATGAGCTGAAGTTCCGGAATTGTTCGGAAGGAATCACGGTAGATTGTCAAAGCCTTCTGAGGAGTGTCACATTCAATTGGTAAAATTCCTATGGTCCCTATAGCATCACAAAAGCTATACAGAAGAGATCAGGGCGGAGATTCAGGCTAGTAACGCATAAAGTTAAGCAGAACCATGCTCGATTCTCCACTTACTACACAGCCAGGGAATGAGTCTGCAATACCCTTGGGGACACGACAATGCGAGTTGCAGAGATGTTTGATGCGCCTACATTCCCTGCATATAAGTAGTATAAGAAAAGTCTAAAAGCTGAACTGACTATACGAAACTATGAGAAAGACAGCAAGAATGATATGCAGCTAGGCTCCAGGCTACCATAAGTTGCAAGAAGGAAACTATAGCCTTGATAAATGAATTGGGAAGAAGTGGGGCAAGGCGAACCTCTCCAAGTCAAGAGATTCAGGCTAGTAAATGCAACAATAAACGGTGCAGCTACATCCATCTGAACCAGTTCTGGAAGGCAAGCCTATTAGCAAAATCCGCCCACAATGTGATCGACATTGTCTTTTTGCTGTAACAGGTAGCAACAACATCAGAGTTGGGAAATAAACACACCACCAGCAGAGAACAATGTGGAAGAGAACCTACCGTTCATTCTTAAGTACAATAGTTTGCTTCCTTCTGGTCCTATCTTGCTTTTGGAAATAAGTTACAGGCATGACAGAGACCAGGCGTCCAACAACATCTAGGAAAAGGGAAACAATTCAGAAACATGAGACAAAGTATCCTAAGAGGAAGCAAGGGAGACTTACCCACTAAAAACTGAGGTGCGATAGCAATTGGTTCAAGTTCTTCCAACTGACGGAACTCAAAACTATTAGCACAGAAATTGGAATCGTCATCGGGAGATGCAGGACAGACGTGTTGGATGTGAATTGCAGGTTCCGGTCGTTGGAGCAAGGAGCCCACCGCTCCTGGACTCTCGTTGGGAAAATTGGGTGATGAAGTAAAGGAAGAGTACTTTCCAGAAGGCCAGAAGCTAGTTGCGCAGGCGCGAGTCCCTAGACCAGCACACCTTGAGGATAGAAAAGGAAGAATACTGAAATGATAATCAGTCTGAGAACTATTTGTTGTTGGGCGTAGGAATCAAGAACATAGGGTACGAACCAACATATGTCCAAAACGTCGCGAATTCGATGAAGTCAGGCCGCAACGAATTTCCGCCCATCCAAGTGTGGAGTAGTCGGAGCTTCAACGTCGGAGCTTTGTCCGTCTTAGCCAATGTGGAAAGGACAGTGTAATTCATTGTAAGAAGTTTGAGCGCAAGAAAGAGGGTTGAAAGAGCGTTTTTTAGGGAACAAAGAAAGCTAGGAATAAAAGTCCAATTCCAATGGCGATCGGCGCTAAGAATGGGATACTAACATAAAGACACAACCTCTTTGGCAAACTTAGCAGAGTTTCCTCCGTTTGCCGTACAAATTGATTGGTCGTTCGCGTGTAAGTAGAGCTATGCAAAAGCAGCATGGGCAGCAGCGTGGAGGAGCAGATGCAGAGAGTAGGAAACTGGAGAAAAGACAGCTGAAGTTGACGAAAGGGCAGGGGAAACGCGCCGATGAAGGAATGGAGGAAAAGCATGGACGGGTAGTTGCAGCAGGTGAGACCTGCTGGGGGGTCGATGAGGAGTTCTTTTGTGGAAGGTTTTAGGGCTGGACGTGATACGCCCCTGGGGGGGTGTATGTTATCAAAGTCACGCAGCTAACGACTCAATCGAAGAATCGATTGAGCTCGAATCAAGAACGAAGCGTTCTTAATACGAACTTGGATAAAACTGAACCAAAAGGACGATTCCACACCTGGGGAACGCTCGATTGGTATAAAAGGTAGATGCCCGGCCACGATCAACGCGTTCTTGATCGATACAAGAGCTCAACGAGCTTGGAATCCACCAAAGCTCACACAAGTACGCCACCAAACAGCGAGTGCAAGAAGTCAGGTTACCTTGCTCAAATTCTGCCATTCTCGGAGCTCGCAGAAAGCAGTACTCTTCTTCTCTTGTCCACTGATTTGAACCAGGCTCTGATACCACTTGATACGCCCCTGGGGGGGGGTGTATGTTATCAAAGTAACGCAGCTAACGACTCAATCGAAGAATCGATTGAGCTCGAATCAAGAACGAAGCGTTCTTAATACGAACTTGGATAAAACGGAACCAAAAGGACGATTCCACACCTGCGGAACGCTCGATTGGTATAAAAGGTAGATGCCCGGCCATGATCAACGCGTTCTTGATCGATACAAGAGCTCAACGAGCTTGGAATCCACCAAAGCTCACACAAGTACGCAAACTTGCAAAAACCCAAAGGTTTCAATTCAATTCTTCAAAATCTGAGTTTACAACGTAAAAGAAAGCTTTAAATAAACCTAAGCTACGTCTAACAACTAAAAAGAAAGTCTAAATACAATCTAACTCGAAAAGGAATCAAATCTAACAATCATAGTTGAATAAGGAAAGAAAATCCTGTTTTACAAAGGCAGAAATTCTGTGATTTCGTACTAACTTTGTGCCTTTTGTTCGAGGCCTTCCAGAGCTCCAATTCTTCATCCAATTCCTTCCCTTTGTTCAAAAACATACCTAGTTTCATGTTGTGGAAGCCTTTTTACTTGAATCCCATCCATGCTCCTGGAATTGAGCTCCAAAGTAGGCTTCACAAAACAGTTTTCTGCCTTAGCCATTTTCTGGCAGTTTTCCAGTTTTGAGGTAGCAACTTTGAGACCTTGGAATACAACCTTAATGACATAATATGGCTCCACAAAGTATATCATTGGAAAGAGGGAAACATTATCTACAAAACAAACCCTTGAACTGGAATTTCCACCAAGCCAATTAAGAGAAACGTGCCTCCAAAGTCGGCTGCTTGAACACGGAAAATGACACTGACAAAAATGAATGTTCTTCAGACAGCTTGAGCTTGCTTCTTTGTCAAGTAATTCCAACTTGTAGATTGGCCGATTTGGGATCATATCAGGACGCACAACACGCCAAAAATTGAAATAGTAGTAAGGATGTTGGGCAAAAAAGCGTACCCACTAATTAATTACATATAGAAAGAATGTTGTGCAGGTATCAATCTTTTCTAAATTTCTTCATGCCATCTTTCAGCAGTGGCTCGATAAAATTTATTATTAATCAACCAACTCATGATAAACATACAGATCTTGTAGCAAGCCACTTGTGTTGTGGATTCTCGGTCTTCAAATATTCTCATTTTTTCTTTCTTTACGAAGGCACCAACATAAGACATGAAGCATGACTTTTGTGTACCATTATGATCAAGATTCTGGTTGTTGTTGTGGCTTTCCTTCCACTATTGTGTTGACGTTGCTTGATAGGAGTGTACTAATGATCACAAAGTTTGCTAGAATTTTCTACTATCTGCTGCAAACCTACAATTAATCAGCAAATGATTTGCATTTTGTACGCAGTTCTTGCATAGTACACATCGGCTTGGAAAACATCAGCTAGAGTTATACCCTTGTTTCATCAACCATGCAAAACGAAGTCCACGCCTCACTAGCTACCTAGTTTACATGAGCAAACTGCCAGAAACAAACCTTTAGTCTCATGATTTGCTTCCATGGGCTACAATACAACCCATATTGCCCTGCCCACCATTTAGAATGTGGGATCGAAAACTTTATGACAATTAGTTCTCTCCACCAAGCCATCTTTTCCTTTGCAAAACGCCATCACCATTTACACAATAACGACTTATTCCTACAGTTTAAATATGTGATGCCCAACCCTCCTAATTCCTTCGGGGTTCCTTTAGACTGATAGGTCTTAGTTGGGCCATATGCTCCACGACCTCAACCTTCGGAATCAAAGTTAGCCATGTGTGATTCATGTTGCGCAAGAGCTTACCAGAGCTAAAGAAAGAAGAAATGGCGTTGATGACACCGTTACCCATAATTGGCCAGAAAGCCTTGAAGAAAGACCTAGTGAAGCTATCTAAACCTGCCATTTTTAGCTCTCCCATATGAAACATAGTTTCCTTAATTTCAGCTGGAGTGATCGGCAAAAGTAAGGTTTGGTTCATTTTTGGCGTGACCAAAGAATCAATGAGGAGAGAGAAGAAACTCGCTGATCAATCCGAGCAGCAAAGCCATCATCTGACGCTCCTGAGGTAAACATGTCTTTGTAAAAGGACACCGCCACACCCTACTTAGCTTGCTCATCTGTAACCCACTCCCCAAGAGGAGTAAACAACCCTTAAATTTGATTACGTCTCCTTCGAGCACGAGTGATAGTATGAAAGTAGCCCGTATTTCTATCCCCTTCTTTCAACCAACTCACCCTCGACCATTGTTTTCTATACATCTCCTCTGCTGCTCAAGCTGCTAAGAGTTCTGATTCTAGGCGGCCTAGTTCAGTCCAGTCCACCGAATAATGATTTTGTACTTGGGATGATTGCTGGCGAAGCTGACGAATACGACGAGCAGAGTTAGTAGTACCTCGTCTAGCCCACTAAAAAAGTCATTGTCGAGCCATCTTCATCCACGTCCACAATAAAAAACAAGGAGATCCCTAACAGATGAAGCCCAAGCCTGAGAAGCAATATCCCAATCCTCCTCATTCGATCCCCAATGGGCATCAAACATGAAGATTGGTTTTCCCGACAAAGTAGTAGAGCTCCATGAAATAGCAAAGCTCTATGATCAATTCCATGATCTGCAAGATGAAAAACTTTACTATGCGGCCACACATCCAACCAAGAACCGGAGAATAAAAACCTATAAAGGCGACTATAAATAAAAGTATGATCGGAATGTATATTACCATGAAAATTTAGGACTAGAAAACCCAATATCCGTCAGACCAACAACAAACTTTCGGAAAGAAAGAGAACGATGTGGATCAAAGGGCGACCACCTTGCTTTTCAACCGAACTTAAAATGTCATCCCCAATAACCAAAAAAGGAGCAACTAACAGAGAACATTAACACGTTAAGTAATTGAACTGTTGCCTATGGACAACATCATCACAGTTCATATAAACAAAAACCATTACATAACGATAACCATCAATACAAAGTTGCAAAGAAATGAAAAAGGTCTATGAACACAAATAAGAAATAGACACCTCTGATGTCCAGGACACGACCAAATCTCCCGATGAACCCACCGGACCATAAATCCTGAGTTACGAATTACATCCTCCACATAACTACAACTTTTACGAGTTTCATAAAGGAACAATATGACGATTAATACGAACAAGACCCTCCAACGATTGAACTGTCAAGATAGGGCCTAATCCTTGATAGTTCCAAGCGAGAATAGTCATTCCAGGGGGTTGGGCCTCTCGCTGCACGCTACCTCCACAAGTTCTAGAGAATCAGAATCACCTAGGGGTGGAAGTTTAGTACCAGTATTTGGGATATACCGAATACCGTACCGAATTTGTCTATATTTGGTATTACCGAATACACGTATTATTTTGTGGGATTGGGATTGAGTTTCAATTGTTATTCGGTATTAGGGATTACGGGATTGGGATCGGTATATACCGAAATACCGATCAATACCGAAATATAAGCTAGTTTGTATTTTATCCTCTCAACTAGACTCCATCATTCACTACTACGCGACCCTCAACCACCAAAAGTGTCATTTAATTATACATAGATAATTACATCACTATTTCACACTAGTATTAGTCTCTCAACCTCAAATTCATCAAATTAAAGATTACCAATTACAAAACTTGAGATGTTAGCTCTAGGCAACTTAAGACTCTTTGCTTAGTCTCTTTGCCCTGAATTAAACAATAAAATCTAATTTATATATTTAATTATTAATGACAAACGTAATTAATTTTGTATTTGATAATACCGATTGGGATACCGAGGTACCGATTGGGATACCGAGGTACCGATTGAGATACCGAAATATTTAGGGATTGGGATTGAGATACCGAAATTATTTAGGGATTGGGATTGATTTTAGTGTGTAATTCGGTATTCGGGATTTCGGTATTTGGTATTGGGATACCGATACCGTACTGATTTCCACCCCTATAATCACCCATCTCGACTTGCTGTTTTTTGGCTGGGGGCTCATCATCACAAACCATCTGATTATCAATATCACTAGCCTCCACACCAGCAACTAGTAACAGCGACAATTGAACATCTTGGCCTACCACATCAATACCACACATCTCCTCAAAAGTTCTTTTGGTACCTTCAACTTCCATCTCCTTGTCAGTCAGCAATATATGAAACTCAGGCTTTGGACGAGTAGAGCAGGACCCCTTGTCAATGAACTCCTCCATCGGAATCTTCCATCTTCGAGACGATACCCTTACCCTTCCCTTTATCCCTAATCGGAATTGAAGAAGGCTGAACAAAGGTGGAAGCAGGAGGTACCTCAGAGATACACAGCGGGGGAGGAACTGGACGGGCCGCTGGCCGAAAACGCGATGAACAACGACCAGTCGAGGGCCGATCCGGTGGTTGAACAAAGCCACTCCCAGCTAGAGTGCCAGCATGATACACCACCACTGTTTGATGCATCCAAGGATCACCTTCTGGTGCCTGCCCCCGAAATCCGGGAGCTCTAGAAGACCATCCTCATCCATGCTGATTGCGTGGATGAACCCACGTGAACCGCCTGCGACCACGTCCATGGCGAGGAACTGCCAAGTGCCCTTCTAGAAACAGGGTATGTTCATTCAGAAGGATGTAGAGGTGACAATTCTCAATCCAATCCAACAATCTAATCCACCAATCCATTAAAAATATCCATCTAATCCAATCCATTTGATCCAAATCCAATTGGATTGGTGGATTCATGGATCAATCCATGGATCCAAATGGTAAATTATGGTTTGGTACCTATAATTTTTATATTTTACATTTTGGTACCCAAAATTTAATTTTTTATACAAAAATGTCATTGGAAAATTACGTTTTGGTAGCTAAAATTTTTCATTATGACATCTTAGTACCTAAACTTTTCACATTTTACATATTGGTCCAAGGTTGAGTATGTCATTTGGATTAATGGATAATCCACCAATCTACTTGATCCATTCCATTCCATGAATCCACCAATCCATTGGATCCAATCCATTTGATACATGGATCCACCAATCCATGGATCAATCCATTTGCCACCTCTAGAAGGATGCCATGAGGACGCACAGACGTCGAAGCATCATAGATTTCAACCTCAGGAATTGCCAGCGGAAACTCACAAAATGACTTCCCATGACCAAGTCGACCACAGTTGAAACAAAACAGTGGAAGATATTCATAGTCAAGATGAGTCCAAAATTCGCCCATATTCTCATTCTGACCGAAAATCCGTGAAAGGAGGGGAGATTTGGCATCAATGAAAATATTTGCCTTAATGAAAACCTCACTCTCCCAAGGATGATCAGCATAAAGCCCTATCTCCCGAGCCTCGACACCACCATCCATGTGATTAGGAAACCTCCGACCCATAAGCAGAGTGCACAAATGAGAGGGAATCACCAACATGTAAACTATAAATGGCACCCGTGCCAACTCACGGACTAAGTTCTCAGTAATCTTTTGCCACGGCTGAAGATGCAGGATGAAATCCTTAACCGTCCATGGGGAAAGACGAAGGATCCGTTCACGAACGTTGTCATCAACGACTATAAACCTCCACAAACCTTAGTCAACTTCATGAACAATTATGGGGTTTTCAGCAGTTCCCCACATTCCATTGGCAACCCTTTCCATCATCGATCTCGGCATCGGCCACGACGCAAACAACCGACCCACCAGACTGATTTGAGTCTGAACTGAACCAATATTGACATCCCCTTCGTAAAAAAACAACCACTTGATCAATATCCATCGGATCGATTGGCCACCAATCGCTTAATAGACGTCCTAGAAAGCCAATTGAAGAACCAAACAATCATTATAGACAATAAAGAACTGAGGAGCATGAAGAGATAATGGAACATGCAGGCAATCTGAGGGAACTGCTCTGTCTGGACAAAATGAAACCTACCAAGAGAGAAAATGTAATTGTAACTGACTGAAACTTGAATGCACAAATGCGTGGGGATGCCCATGACTGCTTGAAAGTACATAACTCCCACCTGGATCGTGTACTCCGAGATTCATGCACCAGGTAATCGTCCGCGACTAGTGTTAAGGAAAAGCGATTGTCGTTGAAGACATAATCGTACGATCACATTTTTTTCCTACACAGTTTTGCTTCTTGAATTGTAATTCTCCCTGCATCCACCTACTTGAAGGCCAGAATTCACATTTCACAGTACAACTCTAGCTCTAGGTTCTTCGGCCCGTCAGAATATTGGACTAAGGCCCACAGACAAAGCTCATATTGACAGGTCCTAATTAGTAGGGGTGGAAATTGGGGTGGGTGTGGTTACCCGCCCCACATTTTGCAGGTTCCTACATACAAAATTTACAATTATTCTACCCACAACCCGTACCGCAGTGGTTAGTGGGTAACCACTACCCACCGCGAGTTGGGTGTGTTTACCCGCAAAAATCTATCTTTGCGAGCATGGAGTTGAGGCCGCCATTAATGTATTTGCTTTTCGTTGCTAGACTATAGTGATATACGATTGTGTTGTTCGTGGAGATACAATTTTGTATATCGATCTTACTCAACATGAAGATTTTTTTCTTTTAGAGTTTAGTATTCAACTTTTGTGTCAGTGAGTTGTGATTTCATATTTCACCGACTGGGGGTGGAATATGACAATTAATTATGATCCTGTATTTTCTTTCCTCAAATCGCTTAGTCCGAGTCCGAGCTATCCCCTTCCTCTCCTGCTCTGTGTCCAACTCCGGCCTCCGGCAGTCCCTTCTTGCACAGTTCCTTCTCAGCCTCCACTCTAGTTGATGTGGTGCTCGGTTTGTTTGGAAGTCAGAGGATGGCGAATTGGTGATGAATTAAGGGGTCTGGAAAATTGATTTTGATGGTGAGGCCGTCGTACAGAAAGAAGAAGGAGAGAGAGAGAGAGAGAGGGGTAGAATATGGGGTATGTGAAATAGTAATTGATTTCTGATAGGTTTTGGGTCGTGGATAGTGGGATATGGGGTATGGGAAATAATAATTGATTTCTAATACGGGCCATGATTAGCAGAATAATTAAGTAAAATTATACAATCAGCCATCCATCTACCAATTATTTCTGGTTCTAATTTAGTAAATTATCTACCATTGTATACTTCTATTACAATCTTACAACCTCACTCCTATACTTCTATTAATGTACACACTGGTATATGATTATATTTTTATATTTTATGATTTTCTATCCGATATATTTTGGTTTTATTCCGGTATTATTCAAAACGGTACTACATTTTGGCCGACATGGTATTTTGACAAAAACAATATTTTATTATTATAAAAACGATATTTATCGGTACGAAACGGTTGAAACACGATCATACCACAAAATACCCGGGACAAATTACGGTGATTTCTAAGGGTAAATTGGGTATGAAAAATAAATTTTTTTAATAAATGATATATTAGGTAGTTACAAGAATCTATTAATTATAATTCTCTCTCTTTCTCTCACTTCCATAATCTCTAGCCAGATCCCCTTTCCTTACTTTTCTCAATCTTTCTGCAAAAGAAAAAAAACACGAAATCACTACTACTTTGAAAAATATCAATACCATTGCAAAAATAAATCTATATCATAACACGAAAACTACCAATATAAACAATCTACCAATATAAATATATTCCATTTCACAAAAAATAAATACCATTGCATATTTAATCAATACCAATACATGCAAATTAATACCATTACATGATAATCAATACCAATGCGACAAAAACAATACCAATGCGAAAAAAATACTACCACTACGAAAAAATCACTACCAATGCGGAAAAAATCAGATCTAGTGTTTTTATTCATCCAACCTTTTCCAGCCGCCTGTGTGAGAGAGAGATCGCGAGGGGAGTGAGTGAAACCTTCAAAGCAACCATCTCAACGCTCGGCAGGAAGTCTACGATGAAAATATATTGAGGGGGAGAGAGAGAGAGGCCTTCAAAGCGACCATCCGAGCGCGTGAGGGAAAGGGAGGAGGTTCCCACCGAAGGGAGCTGGGAAGTATGGGTGGCCGACAGGAGAGATGTAGTCGGAGATGGATTTGGCGTTGCGGGCGGTGGTGGTTGTGGTCTTGTGGAGGAGGTTGGAAGGAGGGAAGGTTGCGACGAAGGTGTGCGGTGATGAGGGAGGTGGAGAGAGAGAAGGGAAAATGGATGGTATTGTGGTGGCGACGGCAGGAGAGACGACGGGAGGGGAGGGAATAGGGACTGTTGGGGAATGATGGAGGCCGTCGTGCCGGAGAGAGGATGTAGTAGGGTTTTACTATAATATATAGAAATTTATATTTTAAAAGATTGTAATCAGGTGTATATCTTTTTTGTTTACATAATTACCCTTAATCTAATATTTACCATACATTTAAGAATATATTAAAATATTAATAATTAAGGGTACAGATATTGATAGGGGTGGGCAACGGGACGGGACGGGACGGGATACCCGTCCCGTTTTAAACGGGTACCCAGTCCCATTTGGAGACCAAAGTCCATCCCATATCCCAAACTCATATGGGAAATGGGTACCCATTACCCGTACGGGACGGATAACGGGTACCCATACTACCCATAAATACCCAAAGTTTAAACCACTAAAATTTTAACAAAAGTTTAAACTTAACTTGTATTTGCTTAACAATCACAAGACACAAAATACATCCCAATCACAAATACTTGGTTTGCAAATTACACATTCATGAACAATCACAACACATAGAAATAAATCATTCCAAGTATCAAATTATAAAAATAAAAAAAAGTTTCATTAAACATGTCAGTGAAAGAGTGAAAGGATAAGGGCCCAAATGGAATTGAAATTGAAAGGGTAAGGGCCAAAATGGCCAATGGGTTTTGAATTGGGTTGGTGTGAATTAAATTTCTGCATTTGTATTGAATGGGTATAACGGGTACCCATATTACCCAAACGGGTATTCGCGGGTAACCCGCGGGTACCCATATTAGGAATGTTCAATCCCAAGTCCCATCCGTTTATAATATTATGGGTAATATGGGTACCCATAACCCTTAAAAAACGGGACGGGTACGGGTATACCAAATACCCGTTTCCCGTTGCCCACCCCTAAATATTGATAGCCACCGTGATTACTCAAAATTGAGTTACCACACTAACGCGTTCCCAAAATACCCTATCACAAAAAAATCCGATATGAAGTCCGGTACGATTTCGTGAAACATGCTACTCATCACTAATTAGATTCAATTATTTCGATTTTTTTCATTCTCTGGTCTTCCGCTTTCTCTGTCTCTCTTTGTGTATCTGTCTCACTGAATGTGTTGAGCCCGCGATCTCCTTCTCTTCCGTACCATCACCGATTGCGATCTTCACCGCCGATCACACTTCCAGTCCTCTATTTCGTCGGCAGGTTGGCAGCTCTCTCCTTCTATGATCTCCTAATCGTTCTTGTGATTCTCCTCCTGGCATCATCTGCTTCCCAGTTTCTGATTTCTGTTCTCACTCGAAAACTAATATGGAATTCAGCAAGAATGTGGTAACTCGTATCGGATCCTGGAGCCCTAGGATCCCTCTCCTGATTGCTTATTACAGCAGAATGTTTTGTTCGCTTCGGTAATTCGTCCAATTATCTTCAACTATCTGTTTTTTGGGCTCTGGTTTTCATATATGCCGAAGAATGTCGACGATTTAGGTCTATTGTGTTGGGATGAATTCTTTTTGAGGATTGAGTAGCAATTCCTTTAGCAAACTTATAACGATGAAGTACGATCGCCTTGTTCAAAGTTCCATGCTCTGTATTGAGATTGCGAATTTACTAATTGGAAGTTGAATTTAGTGGATTGGAACCAACTCTTTACTTTCGCATCACCATTGATTGTTTGTTCCTATGGCTAACAGAAGACATTCAGATGGTAAAGATCAAATTGCCAGATATTAGTAGCTGCAGTGCCATTAGAAGTGAGTATAGCATCCCTACTCAGAAGGGTCTCATTGTGACAAATCGTACTGCTCTTCTTTACTCTTTTTCCAACTCCATGGAGAGGAAAAAAGTTGTATAGGTTTCCATTTCGCTGTTGGATATGCTATCAAATCACATTGTTTGCCTGCTGTGTGATCTGGGTGATTCAGAAAAGCCTCACATATATCATTTGGAGATATCTCCATGCAAACGATTTATAATCTGTAAATCGGATATCAGCGCCTTGGTGATTTCGACTTCAGAGTAAAGTTTTATGCTAAGACCATTTACATTCTAGTTTCAGATTTTGGTGAAAGATGGCAGGCCAAGGCCAGCGCTTGACTGTGGTACCTACAGTTACAATGCTTGCAGTTATGAAAGCTCGCCTTGTCGGTGCCACAAGAGGTCATGCTCTTCTCAAGAAGAAGAGTGATGCTCTAACCGTGCAGTTCCGGGCAATACTCAAGAATATTGTATCAACGAAAGAGTCAATGGGAGACATCATGAAGAACTCCTCATTTGCCCTAACTGAGGCAAAATATGTTGCAGGGGAGAATATCAAGCATGTCGTCTTGGAGAGCGTCCAAACTGCATCTGTTAAAGTCCGATCACGCCAAGACAATGTTGCTGGAGTGAAGCTGCCCAAGTTTGAGTATTTCTCCGAGGGGGATACCAAGAGCAATGACCTAACCGGTTTGGCCAGAGGCGGGCAGCAGGTGCAGAAGTGCCGTGGTGCTTATGTGAAAGCAATTGAGGTTCTTGTTGAGCTTGCTTCGCTCCAGACATCGTTCTTGACGCTCGATGAGGCAATCAAGACCACAAATAGAAGGGTGAATGCATTGGAGAATGTTGTGAAGCCAAGGATTGAGAACACAATCACTTACATCAAGGGGGAGTTGGACGAGCTTGAGAGAGAAGATTTCTTCAGGCTGAAGAAGATACAAGGTTATAAGAAGAGAGAGATTGAGAGGCAGAGAGCTTCTGCGATAGGGTTTGCTGAGGATCAGATTGCTGAGAAGCTGTCCTTGAGTAAAGGCATTTCGATGGCTTCGGCGCAGAATATGTTGGCTGCGGGCGCAAAGGATGAGGATATAATCTTTTGAGCTGGGATGTTCAGCTAGTTTTAATTTATTGCTTCTTTAATTAGGATTCGAGGCTGCTGCTACGACCATGCTGCTTCGGTTTGGTGGTTATTGCCCAGAGATCATTCAGAGCAGAAGAGATAAATTTTGCTGAATAAAGCTTACGTCTATGTTTGTTTATTTAATGTGATTATTTGCTCCTACTGTTTGTCATATTCTGAAAGATATATTTCGTAAACATATGTTTGGCTGGTTACTTTGAGCATATTCTATCAGATTACTGCTGTTGCACATTCAGTACCGCGGGAGGTGAATCTGCAGGCAAATGCTCAGAAGTCAGAACATGTAGTATACAAAGAAAAATCATCGACCAGACGAATTGGAAACGGGATTATAACTCCAAAACTGATTACCAATAAACTTCACTCCCGCTAATCTGAGATTCATTTGAAGCAGAAACTATACCTATCTGGGCTATTTGTGTTGTGTCCGTACAGTAACATGGGAGCACAATTTACAAGTATATCAGGTCCCCTTACAGTGTATATTATTTGTGACACAATCTGAAAAGCAATAAAATTAATGGTGAGGGGAACTAATTTGCCCTCGAATTACAGGAACAACGAAACCAAATTACTGCAAAAATATTGTGTACTACATAGTGCCAAGCGAGGACCGAGGCGTGGGGCTTCTTGTTACTTGTTCCTGGTGATTACTCTGTGTGTGATGTCTATCAAAGCTCGTCTCGACCTCCGCACATCCTCGTCATCAGTTTCCGGTAAAGAATCAATAGCTTCTGCAGCAAGGTTAGCATGTTGTGCAGCAAGTTCTCTTGTCCTCTGTATTCCGCGGCTCTTTCCGAGGTATTCAAGTGCCTGCAATTTTTGAAGGACCAATCCAAAACCATTAAGTTAGAATGCCGTGAAAGAAACAACGCTAGGAAAGAGCACTGAGATTTCATCCATGTCATACTCACAAGGTTCACATTTTTGGGGTCCTCGAATCCTTGATCAATAATTGCACGCAGCTGGGGAAACTCCTCCATGGCAAACAGTATTGGAGCAGTTACTATTCCCTACAAAAGGATGTGTTCCAATAGAGTGAGTAGAAAAGCTTGATACACTAGGCCATTGGAGCAGGCACGCAGTCTGCACTAATGAAAACACCATTAATATAATCATACGAAGGTGTTTGGATAAATTACATGGCGTATGTCTGACAATGATCCTTTTCCAAGGGAAGCAGATGTGCCGGTGAAATCAAGAACATCATCTATCAATTGAAAGGCCAAACCCTGGTAATAAGATGGAACAATAAGATATCAGCATCAGTTCAAAGAGCAACAAGAATCAGTGGCACTGGAAGCACAAGCCATACAGAAACTCTCCTATACTGTCAATTAGCAAGATCTTTCGTAGACGAGTCAATGCATATGGATGCTGGTGGAAACCCTCATGTGTCTTAAAACCACCATAGTGAGAAATCCTTTCGCAAATAAGCATGCAATGCAACAAATGAAAGATTGGTATTATCAGTCTTATTTCAAATAGTGCGACATCTTCATGCACTGAGATGAAACCGGAAACGCGGTCCATAGACATGAATCCATGCAGTCGGTAGACATTTTACTCAAAAGTTCATTGACACTAATGAAACCTTTTTGTAGTACTAACCATTACTCTTGCACTAACAATTTAACCGTGAATAGCATTCCAAAGACATTGAAATGTGAAATACTACAGGAAATGAACTTTTGAAAGCAATCTCTTTATCAGATTATTCACATAAGAGACACTATGGAGGGGACTACAGACCAGATTTCTTCCGTACTCAAAAGCCAGTGTTGCCACTTCAGCAGTTTGCCCAGCAAGAAGAGCAACTGCCTTACAGCTATTGGAAATAAGAGATGCAGTCTTGTAATACGTCTTCTGCATATAATACTCCATGCTGCACAAAGAACATGTTCTTTGAAAAATTTAAACAAAACATATATCCTGGCTGGAAACCCAACTCTAGGCATCATCAAAGATTGCAGTAACCAACGAAGTACAAATATGTAAATAAAAGAGGCATAATCATAAAACAAAGGAAATTCAATTGTTCACACAAGAACAAGAGCTCCCAATATTCAACTTCGACCAGAGGTATATATTAAAACGGATACACCTGCCTAATACATGACCATTGTCGAAAATACAATTTTGTACTTCTGAACACATTGGGATCAGGATTTCATCAAACATTAGTTTAGGTCGGCAGATTAGCATTCTTCAAACCAGTTGCAAATTATGAAATGTCCATGCAGTCACAGAATAAGCTTAAAAGTCGAAACCAATCAAACAATACGATATACATGAGGAAATCCCAGAAATGGTGTAAAGCTATGATGATTGAGCATTAAAGGAAAAAGTATGCTGCCATCTACAACTCTAATCTCTCGACAGTACTTAATGCAATGCATCAGATGAAGCCGGTAGGTAATATACCTACAACGCTGCTCAGTGGTAGTAGTCATCTGCATGGTTTCGCCAGTTACAAGATGCTCCACAACTGTTGCCAGTAGTGAAACGACCTATAGTTATGCATTTGCCAGAGTGAGGAAACGACAATAGGCCATCAAAACATATGAAAATGCAGCCAACCCTTCAAGCAATACTTAATGAATTAAAGGGAAAATGACCACCATTGAATACCAATGAACATTTCTGTTGCTGGCTGCTGCACATATAGTAATACCTTCAATTCTTTTTGCACTATGTATCAACAAATTTGGTCTACTGTTTTCAAGAACTTCTCCAAGACTGTAGAGGTTGCAATCTAAACTTGCTTTGGACTGGAATGCCAGGGAATTACAGCATATACATACCTCAGTGTTCCGCAAAGAAGCTAGTGCTACACAAGCTCTTGAAAGTAGAAAATCCCCAGCTAGCACTGACACCTGCATTAACAAGGGAATAAAATGAATGGAAGACATTAGGAACTGACACCAGCTGTTAGATTAGCAGAGCAGACTATACTTTCCATGGTATACGAAGCCTACGTGACTAATCAAAAAGAAAACGGAAATAACTATAAGATAAACATGAAACTGAACCCTATTAAAAGCTATCAGGAATGTACACATGGACATGGCATCCCAAAAATAACATCTTAGAACATAAATTAGATCTGATAAACATTAAAAGAAGTCCCATATGAAAGCTCTATTTTTCAAAAAATGAAGTACCTTGTTGCCCATAACAAAATTTAATGACTTGATTCCACGTCTCGTGTCCGCATCATCCAAAACATCATCATGGAGAAGACTTGCTACCTAATACACAAAACAAAGTAAGTTATCAATGAAGTGCCAAGTCCTCAAGTTTATAGATCAGATTAACTGCTGCAACTGCTCAAGTGACTCACATGAATCATCTCTGTGATCTCTGCTATACGTTGTTGTCTTGCACGTAGCTCCGTAGTCACGGGACCAACATTGGGTATAGGTTCAGGTAAGTGCACATTTAGAGCTGTTGCCATCAGCAACAAGACCTGCATTAAAATATACCTCCTTGTTCAGTATCACATTAGTACCACTAAACACAAACTGGCATAAGAAAAGGGCATATTGCCTCCTTAGCACAATCTGAAGGAAATACAAAACTACCGTCAAACATGGTCAATATTTTAGTTACCGTTGGACGGAACCTCTTCCCTTCCACTCCAATTTTAAAGAAGTATTCAGCAGCTGAGGCAAGCTTCGGAACCTGGAAAGAATGAGATCAATCATCACACCAGAATGGGTACAACACTCTGGTTGGGCCATAAAGAAACATGAATTCAAAAAAGACATCCAATATTCAGCATCTAAAGGCAAATGAGACCAAATAGAATTAAGTACCTCAGCAACTACCATTTCCCGCAACTTATTAGCAAGAAGCGATAACTCATCAGCAACAAGTGAAAAAGGATCAAGTTGTTCCTGCAAGAAAATTAATCACACACATTAATGATTAATTGCTGTGACTAAGCTGTAAAAACTGTAAAATGTTGAGAACTGAAGTACAAAAGGAGGTCACAATTCATATGCAGTTAAACAATTTAGGCATTTAGCACAATCTTTTTACTGCGACTACCTAAAGGAAAAAAGCACAAGTGGAGCGCCTAGCAGGACATTGTGGCACCAGAACAGCTCCATGACCAAATATTTGGGCACAAAATGTAAATAACTTCCTCAGGAAAGTGATTGTTAAATAAATAACCACCCCTCTTGCTCTCTATCTTTTCACCCTCAAGACAATCCATCACACTTCATACATAGAAAAGTCAAGAATTTCTCCCTTCAAAAAAGGACATAGAAACCTTTCACAATCATGAAGGGATAAACAGATTGTGCACAAAGGATGCAGATTAAGTTAGTCCAGCAAGTAACCTAGAAGGACATACTTAAGCTCTATCAATTCTATATCAGATACTCAGGTACACATGTGTAATCTGAACTATGAAAATAGGCCATCTTGCGATACCAGAAGGGAAACAGGTATAACTCTTATACCCGTTAGCAGGGAGCAACGATAACCTAGAGCCCAGGACCCTCCGCATTATCACAAATTCAGTTTAACCTTAAAAACAAAAGTTGTAAACTTTAAGAAGCTAGCAAACAAGAAGATCAATCAACAAATGAAGATGCTTCACCTAACCTCAACCAAGGAAGTGCTCTGGTGATGTATCTGATGTGTAAAGCCAAGCCGGGCAGGATTACTCCACGAATAATGTTCTCTGCAACCGAAAACCTACTAATCACCAAGAAATATAAGGAAACCAAGAATTAGCATAAACCTATCAACCTTGATCATCAAACACAAAGCAATGCAAAATATCTCTTGCCTTAACTCCGTAAGACCAATTTCAAAAGAACTCCACCTTCCTAACTAAGTGCCAAGATTCATTCAAAAAATACCAGCTCAGCTCATTCTATTGAATGCTTTTCAGTTTCACAGTGGACCAGTAATTCCTAAAGGCCATACTTGCATTCACTGCCAAAATCAACCCCTCCAACATACGCACTCTAAACCTTTAGTGTGTATATCACAACCCCACCTCATCCTACATTTTCCTCAAAATTTCATGATGCTAAACCTCTCTAGAGGAGGTGCCAAAGACATTTTTGGTCAACAAAGAAAAGCTACTGTATCCAGCATAGCAAACTGTATACTTTCCCCGATAATTTTCTGAAAAACACAATCATATTAAAATATTCAGAAGTCCCAAAGCAGCTCATTCTAAACACCAAAAATAGCAACCATTGCACAGTTAGCTCGCCAATACAAACTTGCACAACTTCAGACGCAAAACCACCATTAAACAGAGAGTTGCAAGTCGCCGTCAGTCAACCAAACAACAAAATCCAGAAAGCAAATTAGAGCAGCAAGAGAAGCGAGCGCTGCAGGAACTAATCCGTTCCGAATTATCGAAAGGGAAAGAAGGGTGATGACCGGGAGATGCACGGCCGGATTACCTTTTGAGCAGAGTCGCCAAGAGAGTTGGAGCTGTCGTCGGAGATTGGGAACGGATCCAATGGGTGAGAAAGAAGAGAGCGGCAGCCTAGAACGTTACTCGTCCTGGTAATTCTTGAAATACGCAACAAGCCGCGTGACAACATCATGGCGTGTTTCGATTACGATGCTGTTTAGGTGACAAATCTTGAGAGAATGAGCAGAGGGAAGCGGCGGCGGAGGCGTTCGTCGGCCGAAGGGGAGAAGAACGAACTCAACGACGTTCACCGACTTGAATTGTTTTTCCCCCTTTCCCTTTTTTTTGTTTCTGTGGAAATTTCGTGTTGTGTTAACGGTGAAGAAGAAACATGTTTTGATGACGACGGCGAATCTCAGCCATTCGCCTCGTGTCCCTTCCCCTTCTACCGTTCTTCCTAAAACCCTTTCACTTCTCTGTTAGTTATTACGGCTATTCGCCGTTTGCCTTCTTGACTTATTTTGCCATGTCTAGTACCCACATTATCATCCAAGTTCATATTGACTCTCCAAAAAAAAATTCCCCATACAGTTGTGACTTCTCTGAGGCAACTTTTGTATTCAGAATGTCTGATGTTGGGAAGTAGCGAGCCTGCCTTTGCAACCAAAGAATTTGGTCGATTCATAGTGCTCCAAACTTGTTTTGCAAGTAACGCCTTATTGAAAGCGTTAAGACCACTGCATTCTATACCTCTATCCTTCTTATCATCACACATTCTATCCCGTTTGACCCAACTGATTCTATTTTCCTCATGTTTCTTTCCCCAGCCATAACTTGTGATTAAGCTTTGAATCTCATCTAGAATACCCCCATGGTACTTGATAGGGGTGGGAAAATGGTTGAGGTTTTGCGGTTAACTCGCAATCGCACCGAATAAGAGCGGTTTGTGGTTACCTACAAACCGTTTAAGATGGCCTTTATTCGGTAACAGTTAGTGGAATTGGATCTTTTGCGGTTTGTGGACTAACCGCACCGAATAACTAACCGCGTAAGAGTAGTATGGTTTGAACTTTGAAGTTTATGACTTTGTGTTAAAACTAAATTTGGATGGTTTCTGTTGGATGTTTAGAACTTAATTTGGATGGTTTTTTTGGGATTGTTAGAACTTAATGTGGATGGTTTCTTTGGGATGTCTAGAACTTAATTCAGTTTCAGACTTTTCCAAGTGCATTTTCCTTGTTTTATTGCTAATTTCCCAAGTGCATGTTGATGAATTTTACAGGTTAATTCGGTTTTTGTAGCGATTTTGTTCCATTTCGCGGTTTTTTTTTTTTTGCATAGTTTAACTCTTAATCGCGATGTGTGGTTAGATTTGTGGTTAGTGGTTAACCGCAAACCATTTGTATTGCGGTAACGGTGGGTGGTTTTCCCCTTGTGCGGTGGCTGTTAACCGCGCTTATTCGGTGCAGTTAACCGCACTTATTCGGTGTTGTTAACCGCAACCACACCGTTTCCCACCCCTAGTACTTGAAGAACCATCATAGAATATAGACATTGGGATTTGTGCATGGATTTGATGAGAATTTCTTTTTCGACTTGTGACTGTGTTTTTTTTATCTTCACTCCTTCAACTTGCTTCTAACTCTTTCTTTAAGCCTAAAAATATGACTTTCTTTGATCTTCCTATTAGCGTAGGCAGCTCGAAGTATTGTCCATGCTTTTCGACTTCCCTTATTCCCAATATATTGCATAAATTGTGTCTTCAGCATTCTGTAACATTTTTACTAAAAGTCAACAGCAGTTAATATTCTGACTTGATTCCTCTTCATAAATTCTTAAGATTCTCTTGAGTTTTTCCCTTCCTCTTCATAATTTCTCAGTAATGCTGAGAAGCCTCCCGCACATAGTAAAAATTGATAAGGAGATACCGGATCACCTTGTCTAAGACCTCTTGTAGGCTTGAAAACATAGCTTTGTCCCCATTAACTAGCACTAAGTAGGTTACTGACTCTATGTACATCTTCATTAGCCTGATCCACTCTCATCCATTTTCTCCATTAACTTTTCAAGGAAACTCCATTCAACTTATCAACTTTGTCGTAAGCTTTCAATCATATTCGATTTTACAACAAACAAATCCTTCTTAATATTGTGACAATTCTTCATGTAGTTATAAAGCACTCAAAAACTGCAATTATGTATCTTTATGAATCGACCGAACACAGATGCTCGTTATATTCATTGTGTAAAGAAACTTTGAGTTCGCTTCAAGGGAGTTAAATGTGTGAAGAGGAAATAAAATGGAGTAGGAGAAAGTCACGAGCTATAAGTTGTATTAAACTTATAAATCAAAGCAAACATATATTATCCCTATGTATGATGACACAATCGTCTATTTCTAGTATCGATTCATTAAAATAAATTATGTGGTATGCTACTATTAAATCTTTATTTTTTTTTTGGGTAAGAAATGAGACTCTAAATGGGCGTCCCTGCCTTGCACTTAGATTAAACGAGATTGGGCAATGCCCATAAAGTCATACAAAGTCCAGAATTGGAGACCTGGATCACAATTATCAACAATATGAAAGCCTATACTAATAGTATATCCTTTATTGGCTAAGTAGTCTGCAGACTTATTGCATTCCCGGTATGTATGAGAGGTTTGGACCTCCCAAGCTTGCTGGAGTAGCTTGTGGAACTGTCGAACAAGGATAAGGTATATGTGGTTCCTTTGATCTGTTGAGGAAAGGATGTAAGAGCCATTCTAGAATCCATTCTCAGTTGCACTTTTCGATGTCCCTGGTCCCATGCAAGTTGCAAGCCTTGAACTGCCGCCTATAGCTCGGATCTAGTAATCATGCAGGAGCCCAAGTTGGATGTAAAAGCACTCAAACATCTCCCAAAGTGGTCTCGGATGATTCCTCCTGCCGCTGCGTGAGATTCCGGCAGCTTGACAGAGTCATCTGTGTTTACTGCTACCCAACTGGGAGGAGGAGGATGCCATGAGAGTTCTTGTTCAGATTTGTTCTGCTGGATACTGTTTATTTTCCCATTGTTATATAAGCCTATTGGATAGTCTGCGTCAACTTTGGATTCTTTTGACGAGAGTGGTTATGTCCTGCCATTTATGTTGGAAGATCTTCTCATTGTGTCGCTTCCAGATGTACCATGCTTCCACTCCAAAGTTTAGACCAGTGGTGGAGTTTCGGAGTTGCTCCACCATCCAATCTGCATAATTTAGACCCACAGTAAGGCTGTTGTCATTGATACCTAGTTGTTGCCATACCTGTGTTGAGGCTGGGCAGTGGCGGATGATGTGTTCTGTTGTCTCTACCGCTGACTTGCAGAGGTCACATGTTGTCTTGATTGCAGATTTTCTGTCTTTTCCTCTCACTATTCGTCATCAAGCGATTATGCAAGGTCAACCATAAGAAATGACGAATACGGTTTGGACCGTTCCACTTCCATAAGCACTTCCAAACGGTGTTGAGATCCCGTCAATATCCTCCTCACTATCTTTATGTAGCCACTCCGTTGCTGCAGCATAGGCCGATTGGAGTCTGAACCGCCCATCTCCTTCTAAGCCCCACGCAATTAAGTCTTCTCCTGCACTAGGGTGTGGTGGGTATGTACCTGCAATAAAAGCAATCACATAATCAGGTAGACGTAGTTCTATGTTATTCCAATCCCATTCACCTGAGTCGGTCATCAGATCAGCCACCGATGCCTCCCAATTGATGTTACTATTGGTGGAAGTAACATTGTCTCTAAGGGTCATGCCTTCTCCACCCAAGAATCAATCCAAAATTTGACACTCTGGTCATCACGAATGTCCCAGATTACACCCATTTTAACCAAGGGGAGAGCTTCCATAATGCCCCTCCAAAGTCTTGAAACATTCTGTCTGCGGAAAGTCACACTCGCATTGTCATTCTGCTTCACATATTTCCCCTGTAACAATTTAATTCAAAGGGTATTATCATCATTCAGGAAATGCCAGCCCAGTTTCATTAGGTAGGCTAGATTTAGAGCTCTCGCCGAGCGCAAGCCAAAGTCACCCTCCTCTTTGGATTTACAAATGCATCCCAAGTACCAGATGAGTTTTGCTACGTCCTTCTTCACTCCCCCAAACAAAAACCCTAATTTTTTTTATCAATCACGTCACATATATTGTAAGGAAGAACTGTCGTATGCATGACATAATTAGGAAGAGAGTTCAGAACAGAGACTGCAAGAGTGGTCGGCCCTACAAGAGAGAGATTCCTGGCTTTCCAGTCTGTCAGACGATGGTCAATTTTCCCAAGAATATACTTATAGGTATCTCGTGTTACCCAACCGTGGATAACGGGAACACCTAGGTACTTGCCAAGGTTGCTGGTTTGTTTAATCCCAAGCAGACTGTTGATTCTGTCCTTAGTGCGAGAAGTGGTATTCTTGGAGAAGTAAATGCATGACTTATCTTTGTTGATTTCCTCCCCTAAAGCGTTGCAAAACATGTTTAGGCAATCCAGGATCACCTTACCTTATCTTTAGTCAGCCTCAGCGAAAAGAAGAAGATCATCAGCAAAGAATAAGTGTGTCAGTGGTGGACAATTCTTAGATAAAAAGAAAGGTCGCCATTTCCCCTTATCAACATACTCTTTTATGCAATGATTTAACCGTTCAATGCATAAGGTAAAAAGGTAGGGTGAGAGGGGACATCCCTGTCTTAGGCCACGAGCCGGTAGAAACTCCTCAGTGCAGCCACCGTTCCAGAGAACTTGGAATCCCGTTGTCGTGACACAAGCCATAACCAGATTTATAAAGTCTGTAGGTAGGCCAGCTTTCATCAAAGTATCCTGTAGGAATTTCCACATCACCTTATCGTAAGCCTTGGCTAGATCGATCTAAAATCATGTTGCCTTGCTTGTCTTTCATGCGACTTAATGAGTGGACCACTTCCTATAGGACAATGATATTGTCTGTGACATGTCGGTTGGGAACGAAACTAGTATGTTCATCATCTACGAAACATGGCATAAGTTTTTCAATCTGTTGGCGTGGCACTTAGCGATGACCTTGTATCTTACATTACACAATCCTATAGGTCGGAATTGGGTTATTGATAAAGGATGTTCGACCATGGGCAGAAGTGTAAGAAGAGTCATGTTGCACTCCCTGATATGCAAAGGGTCATGGAAGCAATGCACTATATAGCTGTAGAGGTCCTTACCAACAACCTGCCAGCACTTCTGATAGAATAGATCCTGAAAATCGTCTTTCCATGGCGCTTTAAGGCCTCCCATTTCTTTAATGATACTATAGGATTCTTGCTCGGTAGGGATTGCAACCATGTTCCTAACGAACTCTTCATCCAGGCTAGCAAACCTTGCAGAAATTTGGGGACGATCGACATCATCCTCTGAAAATAGCATGAGAAAGTAATCTCTAGCTATTTCCTCAAGTAACTCAGGGTCCTCCACCCACACACCATTACTGTCTTGGAATTAACCGCGCTTATTCGGTCCAGTTAACCGCAACCGCACTGTTTCCCACCCCTAGTACTTGAAGAACCATCATAGAATATAGACATTGGGCTTGGTGCATAGATTTGATGATAATTTCTTTTTCGGCTTGTGACTGTGTTTTTTTTATATCTCCAGTCCTTAAGTTTGCTTCTAACTCTTTCTTTAAGCCTAAAAATATGACTTTCTTTGATCTTCCTAATAGCGTAGGCAACTCGAAGTATTTTCCATGCTTTTTCGACTTCCCTTATTCCAATATATTGCATAAATTGTGTCTTCGGCATTTCGTAACATTTTCACTAAAACTCAGTTCAGACTTGAGCAATTAATATGCTGACCTGATTCCTCTTCATAAATTCTTAAGATTCTCTTGAGTTTTTCCCTTCCTCTTCATAATTTCTCAGTAATGCTGAGAAGCCTCCCGCACATAGTAAAAATTGATAAGGAGATACCGGATCACCTTGTCTAAGACCTCTTGTAGGCTTGAAAACATAGCTTTGTCCCCATTAACTAGCACTAAGTAGGTTACTGACTCTATGTACATCTTCATTAGCCTGATCCACTCTCATCCATTTTCTCCATTAACTTTTCAAGGAAACTCCATTCAACTTATCAACTTTGTCGTAAGCTTTCAATCATATTCGATTTTACAACAAACAAATCCTTCTTAATATTGTGACAATTCTTCATGTAGTTATAAAGCACTCAAAAACTGCAATTATGTATCTTTATGAATCGACCGAACACAGATGCTCGTTATATTCATTGTGTAAAGAAACTTTGAGTTCGCTTCAAGGGAGTTAAATGTGTGAAGAGGAAATAAAATGGAGTAGGAGAAAGTCACGAGCTATAAGTTGTATTAAACTTATAAATCAAAGCAAACATATATTATCCCTATGTATGATGACACAATCGTCTATTTCTAGTATCGATTCATTAAAATAAATTATGTGGTATGCTACTATTAAATCTTTAGGTTCTCCTTCTGAGTACTAATTAAAGACAACATATCAATAAATTATTGTTCAAAAGCATTTAAATATAGCAACACACTAGGAAATTGGAGAGGAAAATAATTCAACTGTATTTAATAGATGATAATTAACTCATTCAATCAAATTTCCTACAAAGGAAATAGAAACGAAAAAAATGCGCAGAGTTAATGACTGTCATGCTAGATAATGTTTTTCACAGGTAAACATAGAAGAATGTATAAAGTCGGTGACCAATTATGCATGCAATTAACCCTAATTACACCATAGACAAGGAAAAAAGGTTCCAAATAAACAGCCTAACCCAACAAACGGACCTATTATTAAACCTAGCTGAACAAACGTCTTTGATATATAACCACATACAAAGACTGCATACTTTAAACAAGTCATCACTACTTCGTTGATCTTGATTGACTGAGGAGAGGCGATGAGCAAATAATAATGATGACAATACTACGACTACTTAAACGGCGTGACGATGCAAAGAAAGAAGGAAACAAGAGTTCAATTCATTATGCTGGCTACAAAACCAGCGTCCGGGCATAAACCCCTTGCATGCTTCGAAGAGCCCAGATAGATGTTGAATAGAACAACCTCCATATGACACCCGATTCCTGATGCAATCCACAGATTGGACTTCCTTTTTTTTACCCCTTTTACCCATTTCTGAGATTGAGAGAACAGATTAACCCAATTGCATTCTCATAATCACAACCGGCGATCTAGTAATCTCAGTGCTGACCATGGCTTCTGCTCACGGAAGGTCGTCGAATAAGCTTTTGCCCAGGAGTTTGATGTTCATCCTGTGAGAAGCCAAATTTACTTGATTACTGACCATAGAAAGTAGAAAGCTACACGTTAACCAGAACCCAAACTTGCAAGATGGAACAATTTCATTTGGCTATAGGCATAGTAAATTTTTTTTTTTTTTAAGGATAGTGTAGGTTTACTAACCAAACTTGCAAGATAGAACAATTTCATTTGGCTATAGGCATAGTAATTTTTTTTTTTAAGGATGGTGTAGGTTTACTTTTAGTGGTTTAGGTACTATTAAATAGATTCGAACCTGAGACCTCTAGGTTCAAAGGTAGTGGTATTACCACATAGACCAAACCCTTGTTCGTATAAGTATAGTTAAAGTGTACTTTGTTCAAAAGGAGTTGGAGATGAATATGTAAGTAGGAACTTGTATAAAAAGAAGAAACAAAAGGAGAAGGTAAGGAGCGTGTTTGATTGAAAAGGTAAGGAGTGTGTTTGACAATTGCAGCCTATACTGGAATCTCTCTGAAGGAGAAGTCATCATCAACTTGAGAAGCTAGAGGAATGTTTTGAGGGATAGAAGAAGAAAAAAGAGAAACGTTAGAGGTAGGGATTGTATAAAAAGGTGCAGAAGGAGATATGGAATGTGTTTGATAATGGAACTGAGCATTAGAATTTCGTACCCAAAGAACTATGAATAACAAAACATGCAAGGTGGCTACAGGATGAAAGGAATGCGTTTGACAGTTGATTAAAAGTTATGTCTAGGGAGCAGGTTTAACAACACGTCTTGTCTTTTTTGGAAACAAATAAAAGGAGTAACTATTTTAGAAAAAGATAGTAGCTGGCTTTTGGTGAATCAAACAGCATCGAGAACCTCTGTTTTTTGCTTTAACTGGCAGGAGAAAGCTGACCTTGTACAGAGACGCTGCTGATTCAGACTGTACGGTTTGGATGGCAAAATTAGCCAAAGATCCAACTGCATCCAGCGCATCCAAAGTCAGCTGCCAGCCACAAAGGGCATCAATATCAACAACATTACTGCGCCCATGACAGTGGCTACTGCTGCCAGCAGCAGCGACATTTCCATTCACCCAAGGACAGAACTCATTGTGATGAACAATTGGATCGAACTCCACAGGTTCCTCATAGTTGCTTTCGCCTTTTGGAGGATCTGGAAATCAAGCAAGTATTCTTAGTCAAATATCAACAAGACTTCTACCGCCAAAAAAAAAAAAAACAAGTTGCAGCATTAAGGAGTTAAGGTTCAAAACATCACAAGGCAACTAGAACAATACCCAGAAACCGCAGATTCCAACAAGATTTGTTCATCATCTTAATCAGTCGGAAATCCTGATCAAGGTAGCTATACTAATGGATGGAGTGGCAATCATCCTTGCACCCAGAAATAAGAAAGCATGGGAAAACAACTACGAAGTACGTGAATAGAACTAACCTATCCCATTGGCAACTGCATAGTTTGATTCTATGCAAGTACCATTGTTTGTTGATAAGGATTTCCCAGCTTTCTTGCCCTTATTAACCGTTCTTTCACAGCCAGAGTCAATAATGGCATTGCAAGAAAGAGAAGGATGGGCATTTTCTCCCGTTGCTACTCTCTTACTGCTTCTGCTTCCCTTTTCTCCTCCGCTTTCAACAGAGTCTGCCTTAGTTGAACCATCTACTTTCGATCCGCTATCAGCTCTTTCAGCGGATCGAGACAACATCTCCTGGCTATCACCCCCATGAAGATCTTCCCTGTTTATCTCACCAGGAATAATCTCGTCCATTAAACCTGGATCAGGAACTGATTCGCCAGTCTGACCTTGGTTGTCAACATCTTCAACTCTAGGCTCCATGTCACCAACCACACTATCTGCTCTATGTACCGAGAAATCAGCCCCATGAATTTCAGCTTCATGACTAGCACACATGCCAACACTACCTCCACTAATCCCAAAACTAAACCCATCCCTAGCCTGAGCTGTTACTGTGACTGTTCCAGCATTGAAAATCTCTTCGCCATCATTTGTACTACTGATACCCATTTCCCCTGGTGCCACGACAGGTCGGAAGCCAATGCTTACCTGGCCCTGATTGCTATTATTCAGTTCTGAAGTCTCATTCATGTCGAGATTCCCATACGTACTCGATGAAGGCAAGTGAACATCATCAATATCCCCAGGATAATTTTCAACACTTTCCATAGAGTCATTATCCCCACCATGACCAACCGTATCCATGGCAATGACTGATGATGCACGTGTTGAATCCCTAGTAGATGGACCTGCGACCTGGTAGTCAGTATTTCGACGAAAAGAACTAAATCTGTTTCCATCCATATTAATATCAAGACCAACTGAATGGCTTGGACCAGCACCAGATGAGTAAGGTGGATATGAACTGTGTGAATCAAAAAACTCTGTATCACGAACACGTTTTGAAGGTCCAGCAGAAAACTGCCTCCCATCAGTAACTTCATCACCATCACGGTCAATGACAGTTCCTTCAACGCTATCAGCTGGATAAATCAAGTGCCGCCTGTCATCTGAGCTACCAACTATGTCCAAGCTCCGCTTCCTAGAACTAGGTCCTCGAGACTCGTATGAAGCAGCACGGTTGCCGACCTCACTCCCAGCAGGTTGACCAATCATTAGATCTCTCCCCATATCCACATCATCCAGGTTATCATCATTCATCATCTTGTCCAAAGGAGTAAAAGATAAACCCCCAGCCATTGTAAGGTTCAAATCAACATCTGCATTCATTGGAAGTTTTCCCTCATTTGTAGTTGCTACTTCATCACGGTCTTCAGCCTGTCCTTTTTCTGCCTCATCAGCTGCAACCCACCCACTGATTCCACTAGCAGCACTCACTCCACGTGTTAAGGTCAATTTTTTGCTTCCATCAGGAAGATCATTTGGAGCAAAATGCATAGGTCGAGGGACTGTTAAGAAATCGAGTATTCTCACAGTAGTACCACATAAGCTACAATCCAATAAAGGTGACCTGGAATCACATTTAGACTCATCAGCAACCATTTTATTCTTCCCATTGTCTTTTCTGGCTGAAGCAGAATGTGCCTTATTGCTCAATCCAAGATCACGCGAAGGATGAACCTGTTGCAGAGGAGGCCCAAAAGAAAATCCATTTCGAGTTGATTGAGCAGAATGCTCTTCACAGTCTTGAACATTCGGAAGCCATCTTGGTTCCCATCCACAAAGACTGATGAGCCTCTGGGCCTACAAAAGCAGAAGAAACAAACAAAGAAAGAAACAAGTCTGACATCAGCTCATAACTGATGGTGCAACCATATTGATCGGTAACAACCGATATGCATAGATTACTCTTACACGATAATATGGACAGAGGGCTCCATCTCCAGGCTCTTGCAAGCCCTCTGGCTTTAGGTCAACTCCTTCGTGAGGAAGATTTTGAGACACAGACAGAAAGCGATCTATGAGTGGACCTCGAGAAACCCGCATCAGCTCAATTGCAGATGCAGCAACGATAGGAAGTAACTGAAATTGCAGAAGCCCATCACATCTGTCTTTATATCCACCAATCAAAGCAGACTGTGAAGTTGGAGGGAACTGCACTAAGCTTTCAGGGCAGCTATGACCTTTCCAAGGACAGTTGGCTTCATGGCCAGCATCCAGCTGCTTAGCAAAGGCTTCTCCAGCATTTTCAACTTCAGTTCAAAGGGAAACAAGAACAGTTGAAAAGAAGAAAGCACATGTCAATATTCACAAGCCTGATGTAACTCATAGACAACAGTAAAACAACATATAATGAGCCAAAATATACATCAATGACGCAATAGTACTTTAAGCCTAGTAGAATGCTGGGAGCAACACAATGTCCTAATCGTACCCCAAAATGAGAGTTAAATATTGTTTTCACCTGCATTAGTGAACAAATTTAACGTATGAAGCTTAGTCAGACTATAGCCAACAAGATCTTCCTTACCTTTCCCTTGTCTACCGACAACTAGACTCATATTCACTTACAGAGACATGTCAATGATACATTCAGGTAAAACCAAGCTCTGTAATAGAAAACATCTACATGATAACGTAGTTATGCTGAAATTCATATATGTGCATCCGTCTATTCTCTTGACTCTTTGGAAAAATTCATTTTAAAGCTAGTATTAACAGGCCAGCTAATTCTTCAACTCTTGAACTCATCAGACAAATATGAATAGGAAGGGAGCACGTTACTACATAACTAACCTTCAGCGACAGACGATGAAGATAACAGCACAAAGCTCAGACATGCACCACATGATTCACAAACAATTTTGTCAGCATCAACATTCATCCAACCTCTTTGAGCACAAGCCAGTGAATTGGTAACCTGCAAATCCATTACAAAAATAGAGACATTTTTCAAGCTACAAAAAACATTTCCATCCTTTTTTTAGACAACACATGTAAATTAGAAACCTACAACTCCACATGGTTTCAAAGCCAAATTCAAGGGCCATGACTACTATGCTGGCGAAAATCCTAGCATCTAAATGTCCGAGTGTTGCTCATTACTACGACACCAGTTGGCATATCACAGGCTTGAAGCCTGACGAGGCCATAGGGGTGGTGGTGCACGTGGTTCTCATGTTGCAACAAAGTTTAGCAGCGTGGAAAAAGCGAGGAAAAGTGACTACAACTCAAACCTACCAAATGCGTTACAGTGACGTTCAATCCCAATGTTGGACTCGAACAACTTTCCTATTAAAAGACAAACCGTAGCAAGTAGCAACAAAGTCTAAAAGAAGATCAAGTTGATTGTAATTACTTTTTGCAAAGCAACCACTTTACATGATTCTAGCACTTCTAAACAAAAAAAAAAGTTGTACATTCTTGAGTTTTATGCAGTTGGTCGTACCATATCTGTTAGCTTTTCCGATTTTTTTAATATTTGAATGCACAGGTGCCATCCAGTAATAAGCAACAATTCAGTTTGGTAACCCAGAATACCCTTATTTTTTCAGAAGAATCTCCTTAATTGTTCTTTCATGGATTCGTGGTTCTTTAGGAATTTGATTAATTTTTATCCGTATGCTGGAAATGGGTTTCCTTTGTTGCTAACTGTTATGGTATTCCCTTGTAGTAGGAGATAATACAGTGCTGGACTGATGCTTAAAAGAAAATAAGAGGCAACATCGACCCTAGAATACTACGAGCAACTAGGTACAGTACCTTAGGCTTTCCAGACCAATTTAGTGGTTTGAATGTAGCTAAGCGCTTTAATAAATCGCCTCTCTCCCATGGCCTACATGCAAGTCTTGCTGAACCAAGATTAGAAGTCCCAGGTTGTTTAGAACGGATGCCAGACGGAGAAGCCATGCTGGAATCAAGAGCATTACTGGACTTGTGTTTTTTGCCATCATTGACAGGTCCAGCACGTGAAGACGCCCCAGCAGAACTATAAGGTAAGATGCACAGACTCCGTTCAGAAATTTTGGGGAAACAAAACGAGCATGGTGATGCATGGACAAAACACAAGTGAAAGAGGTGCAGTTATTATATTCAGCTGATCCATAACTTATTCATCCCCAAATATGCGAAATGCAGGGCCTCGATTGAGATTCAACCATCATACCCTTCCCACTAAGCAAACGGGGGAAAGTATTTGAAATATGCAAAATAGACTTCCTACGCTGCCACAAACTGAAAAAAATTATCAGGCAAGGAGAAAATATAGCACTCCCTGTATCAGACCTTTACATTTCCAATTCGTTTAAGATTTTCACTATTTGACTTTTCCGGGAATATTAAGGCCATTCAAGTTAGCTTAAAGTGTAACATAGTTAATTGGCCAGCCAGTCACATTAAACCTCATGGCAAAATCTTGGGAAACGTAATACTAATATAAAGAAAAAGAGCAAGAAGAAGTGCAATACTCCTAATTGGCATTTTATCAAACAGGAAAAAAAAAACAGGAATAAGCAAATGGTGGTCCTTCTCTTCCATAACAATTTCAATAATAAAGAAGACTAAGAATCTCACAGCTACAATATTCGCTACCCTTGTCATCCAAAAGTGAGGCGCAGACCAATCCACGGAAAACACATACAGCTTAATTGAAAATATATCACATAATTAATTTCTCTACAACACTTAGATAGAGTACTCCAATCATTTTCACCCTAACCAAAAAATCGCCAGACTTGAGATTCCTATTTAATATTCTGTATGTAAGAATTAAGACAAGAATCCTCAGCTACAATAATTCGTCAAAACGAGGGCGAGAAAAAGAATCCTTAGTTACTGTCATACAGACACAAGGCTTGAATATATCAGTACCGACTTTCATGAACTAAGAGCAACATTCTACCATAATTGAAGTCTTCAAATGCCTCAACAGTACGGAACATGCTGTGGGCAATGACGGGGCTTAGCTCAGTCACGGGCATAACAAAAATACAAAATTTTCAGCTACCACAACTTACAAAGACGGAAGACCAAAGTAGAAAGTAAATGTTTCAATTGCATTTCCATTTATCTTAGTCAAATCTGCCACGGAAACTATCAATCGCCATATAGCTGAAGTATGATAGTCACCTACCCACCGAAATGCCTAGCTCCAAAGAAAAAGCCCATACACCTAACAAACGGCCCCCATTACGTGCAAAGCTCAAAGAATTGGCAAATGTTTCTCACTCCTTCATCATTTTAACAGCGACAAATAGCAAAAGCCCTAAAATTTACCAAAGCTCGCAGATTTTAAACCCTAATTTCCACGTCAATCCACAGAAACGCAAAATTGGTGAGTCAACCGAAACCCTAGAGAGCAAGAACGGGGAGTAGCGAAGTGTGATTTTAGGTACCTGGCTGCCGCAGATGTGGGATCCATTGTCCCGCCGGAGCTGATAGCTTCTTCCCTCATTATGCTTGCGCTTGTGCGAGGCAAAAATTTTGGGTTTCGGAAGGAAAAAAGCGAGAGATGCGAGGGAGTTGGTTGGTTTTATAGCGAGTGAGAAATCGGAGTATATTTGCGTGGCGCGTAACGTCCAAGTCAAAGCTTTTTAGACGGCCTCCTCTTTCCTGCCTTTTAATTTGTCTTTTTTCAGGTTCGTGAATCGTGACTGCGGCCGTTGGATTTGAACTTGGAGCAACAGCAGTCACATATATGACGGCCGCCGGCGAGAGCAATCGCATAGACGGCCTCCTCGCCGGCGGCCGATACTTTTGGCCAAACGCATCGAATTGTGAAAATGGTATTTGCACTAGATTAGGACCATGCCCATTGACCGGTAATGTTGATATGTGATTGATGATTAATATAAGTATCGCACATATATGACGACAATTAACTTGTTTGTCATAATTGTAGTACCGGGAAGAACCTATTCAGGGTCTCTCTGCTTTGTTGTATCAGGTGTGGTGTTATATCACCATGTCTTTTTTAAAAGTTAATAAGAAGACACTAATTCAAAGGGGGAAAATTAACTTGTTTGAAAATAAAAGTAATTATAATGGATAAAAAATATTTGATTAACATTTTTAGTAATTAACACTTGAGAAAAGAGGATTAAAAAATTTTGTTTTCTATGATTGCAGAACCTTAGGGTTGGAAGAATTGGACAAGATCTCTTTAATAAACAGTTGATGCTAGTAAAAAAATTGTGACTCTTTCTCAAACAACTTAACCATCAAGAGAAGGATCTCAGCCCTTAATTTTAGGACATTAGCAAAAGACTTAACAAGCACTAGCTTTGATCCCGCCGTTGGTCGGGTGAGTTTCATTTAAAAATTAAATTAATTTAGAAATTATTTGTTCATATTCTTGAAACTCTCGTTAATCTACTGCATACATTACATTTACATCAAATCATTTGTTGTCGTACTTGAATTATTTTTCGTATTTTTTTTGTTATTCTTTGTATATGACCTGAATGTATAATTAGAAAATTTGACTCATATATAGATAGTTATATACATAGCTAATTTAGTCCCTCCAGAGACACCTACTATATTGATACGATATAAGTTAATTTATAAGTGAAAACATATAATGCTTAATTGAGATATATTAACTTTTGACCAAATGTATAACATGATCATGTTATAATATTTCAAATTGTTTATCATCAAACATATAATAGTTCATTTATCCAATCTTGAATCAGGTGGAGATAAAGTTTTTAAAATTATTTTTATTTTCAAATGGTGTATCATGAAATTTCGGTACATGAAAGATTCAGAATAAATATCTAAACAATAAATGTCATTCCATATTTTCCGAAATTTCAAATAACGTGCAGCTAATGTTAAATTTTTTTTACTGAACCTCACCCAACATAATCAAATTATTTCTGCTATGCAATTTACACTACAACTTGCTAGTGCATATGAAATATATTTTATTTTATTTTTTGTTATAAACACGGTGACAAACTTATTTATAAGGTAAATATATAATATATGATAGTAATATTTTTAGTTGGTAAGAAATATAAATTATATCTAAAAGATATAAATATTTTATTTAAGGAGAAAACATGTGAAGGGAAAAACGTAAAAGTAAACTGAAATTGCGAAAGAAAAAAAAATCCTAAAATGTAGGAAGCATTCACCGAGGGATAGATTTTTTGGCTGGTTGAATTTTTTTAGTTAAAACAATTTGATTGGGTAATGGCTTGTGCTGACGTGGACGCGTCAGGGAAGGATAAATTTAAATCTGAGAAGCCTTTTTTGGGAAACCCCTTATTATATTCTTTAGATTTAGATTTACTTAAAAATTCTCAATGAATGTGCTTTAGTTTTAGCCTTGACTTAGTCTCCTAGGTTTCTCAACCAAAACACTTAGGTGTCGTTTGGATTATTGAATGTGTAAATGAGGAATCTAGGTTAAAATCTCTCAATTAAAAATCCAAGTATTTTAAATGTGGAATTTAGCCAAAATAACTTGTTTGGGAATGATGAAGGATTTTAATAAAAATGGAAAAATTATAATTATATCCATCCTAACCCACCTCCTTCTACGCATATGCATATGTTTCTTCTTCTTCTTCGCTTTCCTCTGCATCCTATTTCCACTATCTCGAACAAAAAAAAAAAACAATCGGAGCTAGGGGCTGATGAAACCCATAATTTGTTCTCTCTCTATTGCTAAAAATCACCCACATCTGGGCCCACCATAAACACGAATTATGGCGGCGGTGCTAGCTCCTCCCAAACCAGAGACATGTTGCTTCCGATTCAAAATTTGATTCACATATGCGATGGTCAAAACCCATTAGAAAAAGATAGGCGTCGGCGATGTTGGCGGGGGTTCTGAGCGACCTTGCCCTCTTGGCGACCTTGTGAGGAAACCAGAATTCGGCGACTGAAATCGACCCAAACCCCACCAAAACCTTTGTCGCTCTTCTCGTTGTCCCCTCCGTACGATTCATCTGCTCCTCTTCCATGGAAGAACCACATTCCAATCGCTAGAACAATTCTTCAAAGACGGCGGTAGCGAGCTTTAACGAAAGGAAAATCTGTTTTTTCGGAATGGAAGGAATAAGGGAAGATTGATTGAGAGTGGGTGTCAATGGCAACAACAGGGATGAAGGAAGAACAAAGGTAGGGACAAAGTTTGGAAATGAATGAGAAAAAACAAGTGATTATGAAATAGTTGATCTCCATAAGTTATTTAAAAAATCCTCATGTAAGAGATTTCGAATTTCCTTATGCCCACAATCTCTCATCTTCCCAAACACATAATTGTTTTAAAAACCTGCAGAATGAGGGATTGTTTTGAAATTCCTCATCAATCCCTCATCACATTCCCTAATCCAAATGACCCCTTAGTGATTTACTAATGATTGTTGACCTTTGGCAAGAAATAAAGTCATGCTTGCTATATGACTTAGAATATTAGTTATATGTATCGTCCAAATTCATTGCCAAAGCAATAAGTCTCAACATGTTATAAAATCCCCATGTACTCAATTATGGAGAGTATTGAATAGAGAATGGGATGTTAGAATTTCCCATGTCTTTAGGGAGAGTAATTTTGCAGTCGATTACTTAGCTAGTGTTGGGCATAAGTTTCCCTTTGGCACACATTCATTCGATGTGTGCGACCCGAAACTTTGCTATTGGCTCTCTTATGATGTAATGGGTATCTCCCATGATCGTTTAATCTATATGAATTAGGATGCTTCGCATCCACTTTCTACAAAAAAAAAAGAGTATTGAATTGGGAATGGTAATTTGAACCTGCCTCATCCGGTATTACCTGACCCATTGTGGGTCAGTATTACCTGACCTGTAGTAGTATGGGGTAGGTAATGCCTGACCCGCAGTAGCATGGAACGGGGCAAGGGTATCTACTTCTGACCGGCCCTGCCAAGCTCCGACCTGTTTTTTGCCCATTCTTTCTCAATTTCTTACAATATATATTCATATATCTCCTATATCGAATTTTCTTCAACTAGTTAAACTTGATCTTCCAACTAGTTAGACTCAATTCTCATTCTATTATCACTATTTTCATTCATAAAGTCTTTTCCTTTAGTTTTATCGTAAACGAACAAAATTTTGCATGTATTTTTTTCAAATAATATGTAAGAAAGGGTCAACCCGCTTCTCCCCATAGCTATGCGGTCTTACTCGCCCCAATCCGCGCTTGGTGCTGGGCTGGTATGGGTACTGAGATACCCACCCTGCCCCACCCATTTGCCACACTAAATGGAATGGGCATCTTAGTCGAAACCTTAATTAATTCGCTACCTAATACCTTAACTATTAGACGTGGATGCTTATTCATTAGACTTCAATCCTACTTGCCGCCGACACCTCTTTGGTTGCTTGCGGTAACCCCTCCCCTCCCCGCTCCTTTTCAATTTTTTTGTGCTTCTTTCCTTTTCTGTTCCAAGTTTGGGATCTTGTTTTCCCCCTTTGGAATCCTCTTTTTCCTATTGTGGGTCTTCTTTTTCCCATGGTGGGATCTCCTTTCTCCATCAGTTTTGTCTTTCTTAGATCTCTATGGGGTCTCCCTTACTTTGGATTTAGTTCTTCAGACCTTGATTGGCTTTTGTGGGGTTACAAAGTGAGTTGTGAAGCTATGCTTTGCAGTTTGCTTTCTCCTCTTTGACTTTTTCATCTTCCTCCTTGCTTCACCCATTCTTTGGTTGTGATTTGAAGAAGCCGTGGCTGTTATTGCCTGTGGATATGAATGTTAATGAGATTTGGATGCAGGGAAGGCTTTCCAGGTCTATCATCGAGGCTCTCATCCCTCTTCGGACGCTGATTTGTGTAGTCTCGTCTTGTTTCTCTTGGTGCTTCTCACTTTCGACGATGTTCCTGGCTTTCTAGCCATCCTTGAGAGAGGTTGACGGCGGCTATATGCTCTGTGGGTGATGACCAGCAAGTTTGGAAGAAGCACACCGACGACTACTTTGGGGTGTGCTAGGGATTTTAAGGTTGTTTGTGGAAGAGCTTTGTTTAAGTCTTGGGTTGTAATGGTTGTTTCATTGTGGGCTTAGTTTGGCTTTCCTTACTTCAATAAGTCATTTGTTTATTCCTTCATTGTGCTTAGCCCTACTTTGTACCACATCTGATTTTATTATCACTAATCAAATCAGAGCCCTTGTTGTTAAAAAAAAAAAGACTCCAACCCAACTTGAGGTTTCCAAGATATGGAACTATGGCCACCAGTTTGTTTTTCTTTCTTATGTCAACTTATTTGGCTCTTAACTCGCCGAGTAACTAATCATTGTTGCTCTTTGGACTAATATATAGCTTTATATGTCTGATAAATTGATAGGATTTTGTTGATATTTTTCATCCAAATAAATTTCCAATGCACTTATTCATCAATCTTTTGATATTTACACTCTCGAAACCAGCTATAGCAGCAAGTGATAAGTCAACTTCAGATTACAACAAATGTATTGAAGTAATGGAATCAATGACAGTTGTTTAGGATGTTGGACAACAAGCTAGCAGTTCTGGACAGCAACCTAGCGGTTTGGGTGTCAAGTCCAAAGGCAAAGTAGTAAAGGCTAAAGCTCCTGCTCCCTGTAGAGGGCGTCAGAGGGGCAAGCATAGACGATTTTGTTGTCATGGAATGTTATGGGTTTCAACACGTC